TTTTTTTTTTTTTTTTGGGATTTATTGTAGAGATGAGTTCTCGCTGCCCAGGTGGGTCTCGAACCCGCGGGCTGCAATCCACTCACCTCAGCCTCCCAAAGGCATGGGATTACAGACTGAGCCACCAAGCCCGGCGGGATTATGCTTTTTATTTGGTTTTCTGCCTGCTTGTTGCTGGTGTACAGAAATGCAATTTTTTGAATGTTGATTTTGTAAGCCAAGACTTTACCAAAGTTATTTATCAGAGTAAGCTAGCTTTTGACAGACTCCTTAGGGTTTTCAGGGTATAAAATTATATCGTCAGCAAAGAGGGATAGCTTAACTTCCTCTTTTCCTATTTGGATACCCCCAATTTCCAAGCATGTGCCACCACACCTAGTCAATTTTTATATTTTTTTGTAGAGTCGTGGTCTCACTATGTTGCCAAGGCTGGTCTCAAACACCTGGGTTCAAGCATCCTCTGGCCTCAGCCTCCCAAATTGCTGGGATTACAGGCATGAGCCACTGTGTCTGGCCCTCTCTTTATTTGGGATAATTGCTATTGGACCATTTTCAAGTTCACTCATTTTTCCCCCCGTTATCTTTATTATTGAGCCTATTCAGTGTTTTGTTGTTTTTTTTTTTTACTTTCAAATACTGTTTTTGTAATGATAAACTTTCTACTTGGTTATTTTATAGTTTTTATTTTTCTGTTAAGATTCCTGTTTTTTTGTTATTGTTCATTTCAGGTATATTTTCCTTTACCTTATAAATTGTAGATATAACAACTTTTAAGCTTTTTAAACTCTTTGGTGATAGCTCCAGCATTTGAATCATTTATTGTCTTTTCTCTTAAGAATTGGTCACATTTTCCTGGTTAGTTTTATGTCAATTAATTTTAGATTGTATACTAGACATTGTGAATTTTATGTGGTATATAAACTTGCATTTCAAATCTCAATTCAGTTCTCCAAGCCTTTGCCACATTTGTTTGAATCTGATCTATGTATGTACCCTCTAGGGACTAGTCATTTTGTGACTTGTATGTATGGTTCAAATTTTAGTTAAATTTTCTAGATCTTTGCTATGCTGGTTTGGAGATCTGTTCTGGGCTTAGGAATCCTGAATGTTGTATAGTTCATATACAACATTGGTTTTCAGCTTTATCATTGGTTTTCAGCAATTTGCCATTGATATCACGTATGGTAGTCTTCTTCTTCATGTTTCTTCTGCTTGAGATTAATTAGGTTTCTAGATTTTGTGGTTTTAGTTTTAGGAAAATTTGGGCCATTATTTTTTCAGGTATTTTTTTCCCACCCCTATCCCCCTCCTCTTCTAGGACTTCAGTTGCACATATGTTAGAAAACTTAATATGCTTTATGTATTTGTTTTAACTTTATAGTCTTTGTGTTTAACTTTATAGTTTTATTCTATGTCTTTATATTCATTGATCATTTCTTCTGCAGTGTTAAATATGCTGATAATATCATCTAGTATGTATTTTACTGCAGATATTAAAATTTTTTGTCTCTGTAAGTCCAATTTGAGTCTTTATTATATCTTCCATCTCCTCATCATGTTCATATTTTTCTTAAACTTCTAGAACATATTAAATATATTTAATTCCATTGTCTGTACCATTGCTGGGTTAGTTTTTATTGACTGATTTTTCTCCTGGTTATGGTTCATGTTTTTTTCCTATTTTTTTGGTATGCCTGTTAAATTCTAAAATGAATTTTATGTTTTGGATGTGGAAGTTTGCTGTCTTTTCAAAAATACTGTTGTACTTTTTCTGTGACACACTTAAGTTAGTTGGAATCCACACTTAAGTAAATTGAAATTCATTTGCTCTTTTCAAGACTTTCTTTATAGGCTTTGTTAGATCAGGTTTAGAACAGCCTTTCATCTGGGCATAATTTGAACCCCACTACTAAGGCAATATTTGATGCGTTATAAATTAGGAGATCTTTCCAACATGACTAATTGGAACTCAACATATTCCCAGCCTTATTCTTTTCCTGTTTCCCCCTCCCTCGTGGGCTCACATACAGATTTCCAGAGTTCTTTCTATGCAACAGCCCCCCCACCCAGTATTTCTCCCTTCAAATTCTAACCACTTTTCCTCCCCAAACTCTGGACTCTGTTTGAGTTTCACCTCCCTATGCAGTGACCTGGAGACTCGCAGGTAGAAAACTGAGGCGCAATCATAGAGCTCACCCTGTTTGTTTTCCTTTTCTCAGGAATTACTGTCCTGTGCTACCTGCCTGTTGTCTAATGATTGAAAACTATTGTTTCATCTATTTTATCTGGCTTCCTAGTTTTTAATGAAAAAGATAAATCTAACCCTTATTAATTCATTAAGGCAAGGAGCAGAAAAATCTCACCCGAATCTTTAAGTTTACTGAAATTAAAATTGAGTTTAAACTAGCATGGCTTTATGTTTGTCTTTTTTCTAGTTCCTTAGATATTCACCCAGACTTGTGTTTTGGTAAGTTGAAAGAAATTGTTGGTTAGAATGACTAGTGTTTGGTATTTTTTTCCTGCTTAATATTCATGTTTCTCTTAGAACCACAGAGGCTATATAGAGTATATATAGCATGCAATTTAACAAAAACACAAATTCAAGTCATGTCAAAGTTTGCATGTCTAAATTCCTTACAGTTAGGCAGCAAGATAAGCTTGAGAATGGTTTTCCTATGACTAAACTTATTTCTATATATGGAAACATGGCAAGGGTAATATCCTTATATATAACAAAGCTTAAAATGGTTTTGAAATTAGTATGTAGTTGTGTAGGTGGCAAAACATGGTTGCCACTGCCATTAATGCTTTTAAGGAATAATAATGCTTGATTTGTTATTTGATTTAGTCTTAAAAGTCACAATTTCTCCATTAGCATTGTGCAGCAAGAAGACCTAAATGAAGAACTTTCAAAAGATGAATTTATTCTGAAGTTGAAAGCAGAAGTACAGCGTTTGCTGGATAGCAACTCAGTGAAGCGTCATCTGGTGTCTCAGTTACAGAATGATCTCAAAGACTGTCATAAGAAAATTGAAGCTCTCCAACAAGTGAAGAAGGATGAGAAAAGCATCGAGGTTGAGGTTTGTAGAGCCTGTAGAGTTAAATATGCTTAATAAAGACATTTTTGCACTTTTTATATTTAATAAATCTTTGACTTTTAGAGGTGCGTTTGACATTTTTAGAAGAAAAGTTTAAAGAAGGAAATGATAGCTAGAGGGATACTGATAATTCCTGATTTACAAAGATTCAACATATAATTTTTTGGCTTTACAATGGTGCGAAAGTGGTATGCATTCAGTAGCAACCATACTTTGAGTGCCCATACAACCATTCCATTTTTCACTTTGGGTACAGCATTCAATAAATTCCATGAAATAGTTACGTGGATTTATTATAAAATAGAATTTGTGTTCAATCATTTTGCTCAACTGCAGGCTAATGTAAGTGTTTTGAGTACATTTAAGGGAGGCTAGTATAAGCTATGCTGTTCATTAGGTTAGATATATTAAATGCATTGTCAACTTTTGATGAGGTTATGAGGCCGTAACCCATTGTCAAGAGTTGTGTTCATTGTCAGTTGAAGAGAATCTATATGTTTTCTGGTTACTCTTGGCACCTAATAAATGAGATGCCAATTAGGTAAAATTTATTTACCACAAATGCAAGGTAGTATTCTCTGTAAAAAGGTATTCGAATTTCTTCAAGATTGGCTTGTACCAACAGTACCTAAAGTCTAGTTAAAGTAAATCTTCCCTAGCAAAATCCTTTGGCTTTTTGTCTATGAGATTTCCCTGGCCCATGTACCTATAACAAAAGTTATTTGTATGAAAACATTAATTAGATAGTGGCAGTGGTACAGACAGGAAAGGCATAAAATCAGGGGATGTCAGTCATTGACATCCACTTTTATATTCTCCAGTCAGTCTTCTTATTTTATAGGTGAGGAAGATGAAACTGGAGGAGTTTGTGACCCTTCTGAGGTGACAGAGTCAATCTTAGGCAAATTGAAACTAAAACCACGACTAATAAATAGGAGAAGGATATTTTCACAAGATCATGCTACATAGAGAATATTAGGATTGCCCTCCTTTAACAGCTGAGTTTTTCACCCTTACATATTTCACAAATTCTCACCGATCTAGTCTCCCTATAGAAAACAACACATAAAAGACCTAATAACTAAGAAAAGGAAAAGGAATGTAAAGTAGTTAGTAATAGTACATTCCTTTCTCTCCTGGATAGAAATAATTATTTCCTACTTTAGTACTGTTTTATCTCCTGATCCTTCAAAGTAAGACTTGTGTTCATTAACAAAGGTCTATTAAAGCAAAGATATTGTATTGTGCTAATTGTTCTGGAATTTTAATTGTGACTAATTTCTTTTCCAGAAATAATTGTGTAATGAAGTAGCTAAAGGCATTTGCTATACAGATATGCTTTCTCATGTGTAGCAGTTGACAACAGCTGGGTCTTGTGATGTGTTTTTTTTAGCTTTGCCTCTGGAGTTGGTTGATCAATAGCTTGAAGGGAGCTATCTCATCTTTGAATACTCTTGTTGCCTGACTACTCTACTACCATAGTGATTTCTCCATCTAAAACTCTGATTTTTCTCAAAGTGTTACTTCAGCCCTTCCTTCTTATGTCTGTTCTGCTTCAACTTACTATATAGGGATTTCCTGGGAACATTGTCTTGATAATTCTCTACACATTTACTCAGTAAGTATTTGTTGGACTAATACACATATTGACATTGAAAAAGGGAGAAGTAGAACTTAACCAGCAAGTGGTTTTCTTAAACACTCAAGTTCATAGTCATGTAATTTGTCCATGGACATTTTTAAACTTTGCCTTTGCTTCTTCTTTTCCACATTTTTATCTTTTCTGAGATAGGGTCTCACTCTGTTGCCCATGCTGGAGAGCAGTGGCACAATCACGGCTTACCACAGTCTCCAACTTCTGGGCTCAAGTGTTCTTCCCAAGTAGCTGGGACTACAGGCGTGTGCCATCACACCTGGCTAATTAAAAAAAATTTTTTTTTAGCTGATCACAAACCAGGCAAAGTGGGGACCAAAGGGAGGCCCAAACTTTACTTGTATGATGGCCACATGTATAACTAGTCCTGAATTGTACCCCATATCCTTAAAATAAAAGATATATATAAGAAAAGGAAATAACAAAAATTTTTTTCTTTTTGTAGAGATGATATCTTGCTACATTGTCCAGGCTTGCATTGAACTCCTGAACTCAAGCTACCCTCCCACCTTAGCCTCCCAAAGTACTGGGATTATAGGCATGAGCCACCGTGCCTGACCTTTTCCATATCTTTTATGATGGAGCATTCTATTTAATCTGTTAATTGGAAAGTGCCATTGGGAGTAATATGGAGGAAGAGTAGATCATTCAGGGAAGCATTTTTTTTTTCTAAAGCTACGCTGTGCAAAGCCTTGTGGGATTCAATGATGAAAGAAACAATGGTCTTTCCTTGAAAGGATCTTAGAATCTAGAACAGTACTATCCAGTAGAAATAGGAGCTAATAGAAACTACATATTAGTTTAAAATTTTCTAGCAATCCCATTAAAGTAAAAGTAATAAGTGAAATTAATTTAATGATGTATTTTACTTAGCCTAATAGATACAAAATATTACCAACTCAAGTCAATATAAAAATTATTAATGAAATGGATTATATATGTATGTGTGTGTATGTGTGTGTGCTAAGTCCTTAAATTTTGGCATATATGTATTTTATACTTACAACACATTTCAGTTTGGGCAAAGCCACATTTTAAGTGTTCAGTGAACGCAGGTGGTTAATGGGCTCCTATATTTAGCATATAGATCTAGATAATGGAAATGGCCCCCTATAGCTTTATGTAATAGCATGATACTAGTTTGAACAAAGAGCTATGAGAAGGAATTACTAACTAAGCTTGATGGAGAATGGCAAGAAGGCCTTAATGAAGTGTTTAAGGAGGGGACATTTGATCTTTGTCCTGAAGGACAAATCCAGGAGAGAAGGGGTAAAGGATTTCAGCAGTGAGCAAAAGTACATATATAAAAAGATGTGACAAATAAGCTGGTGGTGACTAGAGAGTAGGGCATGAGACTAGAAGTCTGTGTTAATGAAATGATATTAGACTTCTCTGCTTGCTACAGGAGAATCTATTAAGAGAAAGAACACATCAGTTTAAACATCCCTGGATATCTTTTTTAAAGAGTCCTGGGCCATCAAAATTCCCCCCTAAGTATTTCTAAGTGTACTTTCTAAGTATTAAGAAGGTCAGCAAAAGTATTTACTATGTAGTCTATTGGGCATGTTTTTTTAATGAACATTTTAAAGATAATAGTATATTTATTGCCTTATACATACTTTTTAATGCATTTTGTATTCATTTATATCTGTCTTAGAACATTTTAAAATTATTACAGAGATAGTTTTTTGCTCTCATGTCATATGACTATTCATAGCAGTGGTTTATTTAAAGTTAAATTCTTGCTCAGGAACCTTATCTGTAGTTATAAAATTGTCTCTGTACAAAACTAAAAGAGACTCCTTTATTACATTTCCGGGATAACATATGATAACAAATAGTGGACTGCCCATGCATAGCACTGATTGGGAGAGAATCAAATATTAGGCCATTCTTTCTGATTGACCCACTAGGTCATTAAGGTACCATGTGGTAGAAGCATTAGGAAAACCAGACTGGCTTACTGTGTCAGAGCCCACATCTACACTGAATTTTTGGTGAATATAATAAATAAAACACAGTACCCTTCTTGTGTCCAACACTCAATAAAGATCATTACCTTACCACAAGTCGTGTCAAAGGTATCCTTTGAATCCAAAGACACTTAATAGGCAGTGTTCAATAGCCCACTCATAAGATTCCTAGCTACAATTTTTCTAGACACAGAATTAGGAAAATAGGATGAGAGTTGGTGTGTTACATTTCTTGTTTTCTTCAAGATAATATATTTGCTATTTCATCTTTAGAAAGACATTGTGTTGTGACATTCAAGTGATCCACTTCTTTTTTAAAAAGTTCTTCATAAAGGTCCTGTGTTGACAAATACAAAGACCTAGTCCTTGTGTGCCTGCAGTGAGATATGTCAAAACTGAGCATAAAATCCAGCTATGAAAAAAACTCACCTGTCTGGAAAGAAGCACAAATGAGTGTCATGAAATTCAAAAGGTGGAGGTCAAGTTTAAAGAAATGAAAGCCATTCTAGTGAGTCAGTAAAATTCTTAAGTCTCATTAGTCCTCCCCACCCCTATATCTGGAGAGAAACTAACAGAGTGGATATTCTTAGCTCTTCTCTCTTCTAACTGGGGTAGCAGGCCTGGCTTCTAGGAGTGTTTGGCAAGTGGAAAGGGAAAGATCAACAACTAGAGCCATCTCCTTCAAAAGGAAATAAAGACTCTACTGCTCTACACTGAATGGGAAGACCAAAGCCTTGGTGTTTTGCCACCCTACATGGAAATGAAATACATACACTACTTCCCCCAATGAGTAGAGAGAACCTTGGTACAGAGTATTTTTTAAACCTTGTAGAAGGGAGCTCAGAGTCCATACATAAACTGAAAAGTGGAATAGAGTACATATATTTTAAAAATCTTTGTGACTCCTTCAATGAGTAAAGAACTCTATTAAGGAAAACACTCAGATGGTAAGAAGAAAATGTGCAAACTTATATAAATAGACAAATCTAGAAAGATCTGTAAGAGGTTTGTTTCATTTTTGTGGCAATACAAACATGTAAATGAAAGCAGTTGTCAGATACTCTTTTTCTATGAGAGATAATGATTTAAACGTAGTCACTGCCGTTGGAGGTGAAGTGAGATGGAGGAAAAGTGAAATGCACTACCTGACAGTGTGTGTGTATATATATTTTTTTTTTTTTTTTTGAGTTGGAGTCTCACTCTGTCGCCCAGACTGGAATGCAGTGGCCGCTCTTGGCCACTGCAGCCTCAACCTGCTGGGCTCAGGTGATCCTTCCACCTGAGCTGGAACTACAGGCGTGCGCTACCATGCCTGGCTAATTTTTGCTTTATTGTAGAGATGAGGTCTCGCCAGGTTGCCCAGATGGGTCTCGAACCTGCGGGCTCAGGCAATCCACTCACTTCAGCCTCCCAAAGGTGCAGGATTACAGACTGAGCCACCGAGCCTGGCTCAGTATATATATCGTATAACCTTTCTGGAAAACAATTTGCCAGAGTCTCTCATGAGTCTTAAAAACTGTACTTATTGAACAAAATATATATGCATGAGTTAATACTGGTATAAATAAATACATACAGAAACAACAAATGCTCATCTTAGTGAGTGAACATATGATAAGAAATAAGATATTTGCATTGTCTTAAAGACTCTTATATAATACCACTAACTACAAGTTGAAAAATAGCAAGTTTACAATGAGCATGTCTGGCAGACCATATATAGGTTATTTTTTTTGAGTCAGAGTCTCTTGTCCAGGTTGGAGTGCAGTTGCATGCTCCCGGCCACCACAGCCTCGATCTGCTAGGCGCAGGCAATCCTTCCGCTTCAGCCTTCCAAGTAGTTAGAACTACAGGCATGCATCACCAACGCCTGGCTAATTTTTTAAAAAATTATTTACTGTAGAGACAAAGGCTCGCCACGTTGCCCAGGCTGGTCTTGAACCCATGGGCTTCAGGCAGTCCTTTCACCTCTACCTCCTGGAGTGTTGGGATTACAGGTGTGAGCCACTGCACCTGGTGGCAGACCATATTTTCATCAATTGATCATTGTCAATGACGAGACATATTGATGCCATGTGTCTCCTGTAAAGACCACACATCAGTTCTTGGCTTTCATGTCATAGGTGCATAACCTGAATTTAATAACCTCCCCCTGGAAAAAAACAAAGTGAGAGGCATCCTACAAAATAACTAGTTAGCACTCTTAGTAAATGTTATGGATTTAAAAGACAAAGACTGAAGAACTGTCCTAGATTGGAGAAGACTAATAAGATTTGACAACTAAATGCCATGTGGAATTGTGGACTTGATTTTGATCTTATACCAGGAAAAGGACTTAAGAGGAAAATTAGAGATATTTGTATAAGGTCTATAGATTAGTTGATAGTTTTGTATTCATGTTAATTTACTGGTTTTGATAACTGTACTGTTGGTTATATTGGGGAAAGATAAGTGGAAGGTATATAGAAATTATCTGTACTGTTTGCAATTGTTTTAAAGCATGAAATTACTTCAGAATGAGTCTTAAAAATTTAAAAACCTGAAAAACTTTTTACTTCTTTGTAACATTCAGACCAAAACAGATATCTCAGAAAAACAAACTAATCAATTATGGCCTGATTCTTCTACTGCCAATGTGATTGTCAGAGGTGATATTCTGCGACTTAAAAATGAAATTCAAGTTTTACAACAACAAAATCAGGTGATTAAAATATATTTTTTATTTTATAGGAATTTTTATGGTCTTGTTAAATACAATGGAAGTAATAACTTTGTGAAAATATAAAAGTAATATTAGTTAGTAGACAAGTATATTATATATTTAGTAGACACGTATATTATAGTAGACACATATAGTGTATGAATTTCAATTATTTCTCTTCACTAGTGATTATTGATTAGTAGTTTCATCGGCAAATAAGTTAGTGTAATTCCAGTTTCCTTCCTCTGTAGTAGCATGGTCGATAGAGGTGTCCAAAGTCAAATCTTGCTAATTTAGATGGCTGCTGAAGATTATTGAATTCTAAGACTTATTTTAAGGCATTGGTTAACCAATATGAGGGGGGATACCCAAAAAACCCAGAATTTATTTGTAAAAAATTGTGTATTCTACATGTTTAAACTTGTCACCTTTAAAGTACTCATTTGATGCAATACACCTATTGAGATGCTTTTTTCACTGCTCAAAACAGTTTTTGAACTCATCAGTTTTGATACTTTTTCGTACTTTTAGTTTCACTTCTTTCACATTGGCAAAAATTTCCCTTTGAGGACTTTTTTTCATCCAGGGAAACCAAAAAAGTTACTGGGGGTGAGATTGGGTGAATAGGGAGGACTGGGCACAAGGGTCATGCCATTTGGGGTTAAAAACTGCTCAACCCTCAGCGCCATTTTGCATATTGTTCCTGTAAATCACCCATCATGAAATGGGCAAATGAGTAAAGAATCTCCAAAAAAAAAAGTCACTGAAGCTGAACATAGCCTCTCACAACAACACTAGCTGGTGCACTGATTCGGATGGGTTCCTAGAACACTTACCTAGCAGGGGAAGCCCGTGCTACAAGGGGCTTGCCCTTCGAAAAATAAACCGGGCTTGGTGGCTCAGCCTGTAATCCCAGCGCTTTGGGAGACTGAGGTGAGTGCATTGCCTGAGCCTGTGGGTTCGAGACCCGCCTGGGCCACTTGGCGAGACCTCATCTCTACAATAAATCAAAAATTAGCCGGGCGTAGTAGCGTGCGCCTGTAGTTCTAGCTACTTGGAAGACCAAGGCGGAAGGATCACCGGAGCCCAGCTGGTCGAGGTTGCGGTGGCCAGGAGCAGCCACTGCACTCCAGTCTGTGTGACAGAGTGAGACTCCAACTCAAAAAAATAAAATAAAATAAATAAATCAACAATTTCAGGTTTTGGAGGGGCCCCCCTTGTACTTCTCTGGTAAAAGGTTTTATTTTGTATATGTCAAAGTAAATACAAAATTTAAACTTCTCCTGTCAGAAAGCTATTTGTTAAAGAATTGAATCTGTGTTCTTATCAAGGCATGAAGAGACTTTTTCTATTGTAGAATTATGGAAATATTACGTCAAATAATGTTATAGGGCAGAGATCAAGCACAGAGGATGTTAAAAAATAAGGTAAAACTAATCAATGAAAATGATGTGTATTTCCTTTTTTCTTTTGTGTCTAGGAACTTAAAGAAACTGAAGAAAAACTGAGAAATACAAATCAAGACTTATGTAATCAAATGAGACAAATGGTACAGGATTTTGATCGTGATAGACAAGAAGCTGTGGATAGGTAAGGTCTATATAGTTGCATGACACCTGTCTTCTTGGTTCCCTTCCTCTCCAAGTCCCTCCCCTGCCTACCCAAAAAAAGATTCAAGGGAAATGATGGAGTGAATTCTTCCATTGAGATCTTAGATTGACAGTGATGAGTCCCTGGCTTCTCGAGCTAGAATTTGGAACACTTTTTCCATAGAAACATGTTATGTAATGAGTTGAGTTTCGTAGCATCACTGAAACTGTAGTTCACTGAAATATTATAGCTTCAGTGTGTTTTTTTTAAGACCAGTCTTGGAAACTAACTGTTCTTTATAAAGAAAAAGTCTGTGGGAGGGAATGAATATGTCTTCCAAATACCAGATCATAAACTTGGAAACAGACTTCTGGGACATAACTTATTTGTGAGTTGGGTGCTGCTAGTATTTGTGTTTAATATAGATGATTTGGAATTTAGAGCCACACACTCAGTTATTTCAGTTAATTTTTTGTAAACATATGTCCTCAACTTAGAGGACTATGTTTGAAGGACCAAGGCATTCTTACATCTGAGTTTCTAATTTTCTCTATAAACATTTGAAGGAAAAAAAAAATTGTTGAAGATTCTCATAAAACCATTGACTGTAATTAATTGTTCCCACTTTTGGTTGGGGAAAAGCAATCTGACTTTAACTATAATTTGCATTAGAGGAATGGGATTGCTAGGAAGGAAATCAGTTTGTTTTGGTGTTCGTAGTAATGCTTAGCATTGCCTTAGGTTCCGCTTCTGTTTCTAGGTGTGAGAGGACTTACCAGCAGCACCACGAAGCCATGAAAACCCAAATACGTGAAAGCCTGTTAGCAAAGCATGCTTTAGAGAAGCAGCAGCTCTTTGAAGTTTATGAGAGGACTCACTTGCAACTTAGGTGAGAGTTAAAGAGTTGAGCTATCCTTTAAGCTATCCTTTAAGGTGATGACATTTTCCTATTCCATAATTTAGAGGAAAATTATTATACAGCCATTGTATTATTTTTGTGGTCATTTAGTTGCTGGTTTTGTGTCTCCGAGGTCTGAATTAGATAAGCTGAATAAGGAGATGGTTGCTGTGCAGGAATGTTACCTAGAAGTGTGCAGAGAGAAGGACAATCTAGAATCGACTCTCAGGAAGACCATCGAAAAGGAGCAACAGGCTCAGGAGAAGGTATAGTACAAGTTTGTGTTGTTTCTACATCATCTCACTTCTCAGGCCTCAGTATTGTCATTTAAATGTAATGACAGTAATGTCATTTAAATTAGTTTAAACTAATACACTTGTTCTGGGGAAGTGAGTGGAGAAGGTATTTGTAGAATCTATTTTTGGCTGAATCACACTAATATAGATCACAAAATACAGTAACTGTTGAAATGGTTATTAAAACCTTGGTGTAAAGTGATATATATACAGGAGAAAATTATTTTTTCTTAGATCTAGAAGGTAAGAGTGGAACAGAACCACTTTAAGTCTGAAACTCAGATCCTTATTTTTCCACTGTTGATTAGTCAGGAACTCTACATAGTCCTGTGAGCACTGCCCAGAGTATTCCTTCAGCGACCTTTTCCTCTGATCTATTTCTTTCTCGGTACCTAAGTGTCATTTTATTCTTCTGGGGAAAAGGGCAGGAGTTTGAGCACGGGTCTTATGAAAGGGAAGATGGGGATACGGACAGAAGATATGGAGAATAAAGTCCGAGTTTAGTGTGACCTCTTTCAGGGAAGCTGGAGAGGCTACAGGAGATTCTCTAACTGCCTGATTCTTCCAAGTTGCCTTGGTGAGTTTCCAGGAGTAAAATCATGTGTGAACGGTGGCCCCTCCTCTTTTCTTCCTGTCCTGGCTTGGAGCCTCACCCAGACACAGGTCTGACTGTCCCTTAAACTTTAGATCAGCAGGCAGACCACAGTTTGAAAGCTACCTGCCTCAAGATTAGAAATGTTTTTAAAGACTTGAATAAATGTTATATACAGAGGTTTTTGAATATGTTATATTTAAGCAAGCTATTGCTGCCAGACTTAAAAAGAATAGTAAAGAGCAGGTGGAGGAATCCAGTTTATTTAATATTTTGATTATTGTTGAATAGATTAATATGGTGAAAAAACATGCCATTTATACATGTCAGCTAATGGAAAAAGAACTTCTAAAGGAGCTGTTTTAGTTATTACTGGGAGTATAAAACTAATAAAGGATCTTAAATTACCTTGAAATTGGGGACTTAGCATTCAGTAATATTTTAAAAATTAAAATAGAAGATCTCCAGTGTGATTCTTTTTTTTTTTTTTAAAGAAAATAAATTGGCAAAATCATAAAATTCTCTCAAAAAGGTCATTCTTTCCAGGAATATTTTCTGATACTTTTAAAAGAATCAGTTTGACTATAAATTTGATCTTAATATAATGGGTCAGTTGCAACAAAATGCTGCTACTGACCAATATTTTGGCTTGCGTGTGTATGTGCACAAGTGCAAGAAGGAAAGTTAAAACTAGGATTTGGCTCTTCAAAACAAACACAAACTTAGAGGTTAACTTTTTTCTTTAAAAATTTAAAATTGTTGTGCAGTAAAAATGGACTTTCCCCCCATTAAGTGTATAGTTCCATAAATTTTTAACACATTTATAGATTCATCAGGATACAGAACAGTTTTATCACCCTAAACTCCCTTGTGTTTTTCCCTTGTAGTTACACCCACTCCCCCCACTTAAAGAGCTGGTATACTTAAAGCATTGGAAGTTTAATTTCTTCTTTCTCTGGAATTCTTTCGTTTTTTATTTAGATTTATATAAGCCCTCAGTAGTCTTTATAAGCCAATCAGAACTGAAACACTTTTATATTTAAAAGACTTTATGTAATCTTTCACATTCTTCAGAGGTGGGAAAGGATAAATGTTTCACACACACAAAAAAAGAATCTTATTAAACTCTAGAGTGAGCTAGGGATCTTTTGGGGCATTCCTTCTCTGCAGGACTATGCCATTTCCCTGCAGCTGAGCTTTAGGCCGGGAACTTAGTCTGAATACAGAATTTATGAGATAGGTAACACCAGGAGTTCAAGAGTGTATTTTGGTGTTTTACATGCTGTTTTCTGAAGCCCTTGTTGAGTCAGACTGTGGGCTCATAGGAGCTAAATTCCAAGTGTTAAAGCTTTTATTAACACACTGAACTTTCTTCACATGTTAACCTGGCTCATTCAGAGATAGGGAAAGTAGTTGTACATACAGAACACTTCAGATTGGGTAGTAATCAGTGGAGGCCATACATTTGCAGACAAGGCAGAGATGATCAACATTTCCATTCATAATGCCATTACTATACCCATCAAGATTTATTTATATAATTGTAATATGAGCTAAGTTGGTATTTATTAGAAGTTAGGTTTTTTTCTTTTTTTTTGTATCCAGGCCATGCACAACAAGTTCAAATGTTTTTAATTTAGAGGTGGTTAGTGTTGTACAGAGATATTTATTTGAGTTTTGTTTAAAGAGACAGCTATTGGAGGAAAGGGAAGAATATGTAAGCAAACTGCAGGTGAAACTTGAAGAAAAGTACCAAGAAATTCTTATGATGGAAAAGAACAAGTGGCTGAAAGAACAAGAAATTGATTTTAAACAGCAAGTTGAAAATGAAGTGATGTTAGCCAAAGAACACTGGGCTAAGGAACAGAAAGAGGTGTGAATTAAAATTTCTTTCTGGTCACCATGTTTAAAAAATGTAGTATTAACTATAGAAGACAATTCTTCTTGAACAAATATGTAAGTTTTAATTGACAGACACATACATAATCACCCATTTTTACTTTTCAGAATTGAATTATTAGCAGCTCATCAGTTTTATTTTTTAAAAATTAGCTTCTTCTTGAATCTTCAGCTCAATTCAGGATATAACAGGTTTTATGGACATTTCTCAAAATGAAACCATGTTCTAATTTCATATTGTGAAATTATCCTGATATCCTGATAGCTATAGACTAATACCAGTAGTTAACAAATAAATAATCCATATTGTGGATTAGGAGAAAGAAGTAATGGGCAGGTTCAAAAGTACAGAATTTATTATTTGTATTGCTTAAATAACAAATGAGATTAGGAAATGCTAATAGTTCCCAAGAAAGTTACAGCCTAAATTATGATCGTAAAAACTTATTTGGAAGTGTAAAAGAATTCTCAAGTTTATTCAAACTAGAGTCTTCTATTCACAAAATTGCTAGTAATTGCTATTAATCTGGTAGCCAGGGAAGCAGTTTGAGAACCCTATATATCCAGAAGGTAGGAGACAGGAAAAGGGAAAAGCAAACTTTACTGTTTCAGTTTTGCCTAACACTGATTGTGCTTAGATCCATTCCACTACTCTGTTAAAGCAAAATGTCTTAAAATCATGAAGATATTCTTCCAGTAATGCTGCCTCCCTCTTGAATGCTGTCTACTTAGTAATATTTAACATTATAACAAATGAGAGTCTAATATGTTCAAGTTAGTAAAACTATTTTGTCGATGGTTCAGTTTTAGCTTCATTAGTAGATATTTTCAGTGCCTGCTTCATGGAAAGTGTAGTGTTGATGGCAAAGCACATATTAATAGCAACATTTTTCTTTTTATCATGCCATGATTCTAGTGGCAATATGAAGACTTCCAGAAGATTGCATATTGAGAGCAAAGTAGTCTGACCTTGCCTAACATACTTAACATGTGATTCTTGTCATATAGTTAAGGTCAAATAGTCACTTTCAGGTTTTACTTGAGAATGTATTTTTCACTGATTAAATTTCTAAATCTGTTATAATTACTACACTGTCTAGATCAGGGATTCCCAACCCCTGGGCCACAGACTGGTACCAGTCCGTGGCCTGTTAGGAACTGGGCCACCCAGCAGGAGGTGAGCTGTGGTGAGCAGAGCTCTGCCTCCGGTCAGATCACTGGCAGCGTTAGATTCTCACAGGAGCAAGAACTCTATTGTGAACTGTACATGCTTGGGATCTAGCATGAACACTCCTTATGGGAATCTAATGCCTGACAATTCCCCCTCCTCCATCCATGGAAAAATTGTCTTCTACAAAACCTGTCCCTGATGCCAAAAAGGTTGGGGACTGCAGGTCTAGATGGTTTTAAACACAGCTGCGGCTGCTTTTTTGGCCAGCTTATAATTCTAGTTTTTACTTATTTGAATATTTTTCTCAAGTGACTTTTCTTCTGAAAACAGATCAAAGAAAAACTCATTCAACAGCTTGAAAAGGAGTGGCAGTCTAAACTGGATCAAACTATAAAGGCAATGAAAAAGAAGACCTTGGATTGTGGCAGCCAAACTGAACAAGTAACCACCAGTGATGTTGTTTCCAACAAAGAGATGGCATTCATGATAGAAGAGCAGAAGCAAAAGATCCAGCAGAATTTAGAGCGAGAGAAGGAAATGGCCATCAAGGGGGCTTTGAAGAAACTTGAAATTGAATTGGAACTCAAATATTGTGAAAATATTGCCAAGCAGGTAATAGGCAGGTTTATTCTAGTAAAATTTTGGAACTGCCTATCTCTTAAGGAACACCTATAAAATGCTGCTGTTGAACTTGCTCATAACTTTACACTTTAAACAATTTTGTGTATTTCTGGGATAGAATTCCTAAAATTTTCTTCATTATATTTCTGTCACAAAACTGTTATCCTTTAGTTTTTCTGTGTAGTTTTTCAGTTTACAAAATGATTCTCCAAGATCAGTCAAGTATTAAGACGCCTGAGGTTAAACAGGGTGGTTTTACATCTGAATGAAGCACAATTTAATTGTGAATCTTTAATACCTAATTTTGTGTAGAACATTTTACTAAGGTAGTTATAGACAGTGAATTTAAGCAAACAAGGTATTCAACAATATTTGTGTTGAGGTTTGATGCAGAGTTCAATCTGCAGGCATGCCCTTCATTGGAACTTTGACAATCATTCCCATCAGCTACCCAAAAGTGGTGCCATTGCCTTTCTTTTGAAGCACTCACAAAAGTAGCTTCCAATTGGGGCAAGTTACTTGATTTCAAAGAAATGTCATACTGAGAAAAGTATAGCCTTTGTTACAAGAATAAAGATGACTTATCTGTTATATCTATTTCATCTATTATAGCGATTTTTCAAAATTTTTGGTTTTAAGATTACAGTTTTAAAACTTAAAGACTCTAAAGACTTTCTGTTTGTGTGGGCTATATCTATTTACTGTATTGAAAAATAAATTTCATAATGTTTTTAAAAACAAGAGTACCCAACCATACATTTTATTGACTGTCAGAGCAATGACATGATCACATACCATCTGGAGAACTGTACTGTTTATGCATGAGAGAACAGGAGGAAACAAGGTAGATGGTAGCTTAATTTTTATTTAATTTTTTGGAGTCAGGTTCCTACTTTCTCACCCAGAATATAGTGCAGTGGCACAATCACAGCTTACCACAGCCTCGATCTCTTGGGCTCAGGTAATCCTGCCACTTCAGCTTCCTGAGTAGCTGGGACTACAGGGATACTACCATGCCCAGCTAAGTTTTAAATTTTTTTGTAGAGACAAGGTCTCAGTATGTTGCCTAAGCAGATCTCAAACTTCTGGGCTCAAGCAATCCTAGGCCTTGGGCTCCCAAAGTACTGGGATTACAGACATGAGCCACCATGCCCAATCAGTATCTTAATATTATTTTGGAAATAGTTTTGATCTCACAGACTACCTGACAGGGTTTCTAGCCTCAAGAGGTCCCTGGACCTTAATATATCTATCATGTATTTATTACTTTATATTAGTACTTTTTGTAAACTCTTAAACAAGATTATATATGAAGTAAGCTTTGTTTGGTTTTTTTGAGTCAAAGTCTCACTCTGTCGCCCAGGCTAGAATGCAGTGGCATGTTCATGGCCACCACAGCCTTGACCTGCTGGGCTCCCATGATCCTTTCACCTCAGCCTTCCAAGTAGCTGGAACTACAGGCATGCACCACCACGCCCGGCTAATTTTTTGACTTACTTGTAGAGATAAGGTCTCGCAAAGTTGCCCAGGCTCGTCTTGAACCCCTGGACTCAGGCAGTCCTCTTGCCTCCACCTCCCAAGTGCTGGGATTACAGGCATGAGCCACTGCACCCAGCTAGAAGTAAGGTTTTAAAAAATATACTCAGCTTTTGATAAACACTTGAAATTTTGCGTTATTTGTTACATTGTTCTACATGAAGTTTACGGGGCATCTTTAAAATCTGAAAACATAGGCAAATATATGTAATGGTATCAAAGACCTCTTCAATCAGTTAAATAGTTTTCTGAAGTGTGTACTGAAAGATTTGAAAAGAGTTAAGAAAATGTTTCATAGACAAAGAGATGTGCTGCTGCCTTGTTATTTAGGAAATTATTACTCTTATGAGGAAAAACAAATAGCATAATATAGCAGAAATGAAATGTTTTATAATAATTATTAAGTAATAGAAATTTCCACAGGAGCATTATCTTTTCCCTATATTTTAAACTCTGTCAAACATATTTAGCACTTTAATGAGAAACACAGCAAAATATCAACTCTGCTTTTGTGTGTATGTACCTGTATATGTGTGTGGGTGTGTATTTGTATGTATTTTAAAACAAAGGAATAAGGAAAAGTTACTTAATGAATGACTTTCTGGTAACTGATGGCAGATCACCCTCACAATTAATCAAGTCTTAAGTTTTTGCCTGCAGAGCTGTCACACTCATTCTTTAGTTCCTACTGATTCTTGGTGGCAGGAGAATTTGCCAGGCATGAAGCCTGAAATTGTATTGATGCACGTGTGTGTGTGTGTATGTGTGTGTGTGTGTGTGTGTGTGTGTGTGTGTGTGTGTGTGTGCACGTATGTGAGTGTTTGTAGGACATGAGAAATGAGGATGTGGTAGGTGTCATGATCAGACAGAAGCTGGCACCAAGCAGCCTCCCTGCAGACCTTCCCCTTTTTCCCAAGATAAATAGGAGTTGTCAGAAATGGCAAATTGTAGTTCATATAAAGATTTCTAAGACAGTATTGATCATCAAACACTTACAGATTCCTACTTCTTGTTTTGGCATTTGTATGGGACATCATAGGAAGTTTAGAACAGAAGGATTAGAATTTACTGTTTAGGATAAGGTAGGGCACATGAGGTCAGTGTGACTGTAATGTAGTGAAATACAGTGTAAAATGCACATGAAATCATAGTTGCTATTTGAAAATGAGGTCTTTTTGAAATGGCACACCCCACTTTACCTCTTTCTCTTGCAACATCCTCCAGGTAGAAATAGCTGTGCAAAATGCCCGTCATCGATGGCTGGAAGAACTACCTGAGCTTGCAGAGTATCAGGCACGTGTTAGAACAGAACAGAAGAAGTGGGAAGAACAACAAGAGATCTCTGTGACCAAGCGGGTAAGAGCACTCCTGGAGTGAACCCTCAGGAGGTTGTCTTGCTTGACCATTTCTTTCATTTCAATGCTGGCAATTTGTCCCTACTCATAAAGTTGTCAGTGGATTAAATATGATAGTGCCTGTTATGCATTAGCTCAGGGCCTAGCAAGTAGTATCTGTTCTTGTCATCATCCAGATGTTTGAGGAGAGATCATGTATTTCAGCATTTAAAACTCTCATAATTAGGAAGATAACCTTAACTTAGAAACTGAAATCACATTCTATCTTACCCTAACTTTAGGTGAGATTGAGAACAGGTGTTTATCTGTTTATTATTAACTGTACAGTATCCTTTCACATCCTTTCACATGACACATCTGTGCTATGTCAGTAGTCTTATAACATGTTCTTATCGATAAACAGCCAACTCTCTTTTCCAGAGATGTCATTTTCTTTAACTAGAAAACAGATATTATAACCATGTGTACTCTTCCGATGTAGTTTACTGGTCTAAACGAATGTTAATTAGAATGCCAACAAACTAAACATAGTTTTGAAATTTGACATAATCTATAAAATGTATTTGGTAAAATAAAGGATAGAAATGCTTTTAAAAATCTCAATCTCTTTATGGGATACAAATAATTTTTGGTTACATGGATTTCATTGCATACTGACAAAGAAATCTCATCTTTAAGTGTACTCACCTCTCTCACCCGTGCATATTATACCTGACAAGTGATGTTTCATTCCTCCATTCCTTTCTACCCTCCCCCTTCTGAGTCTCCAATGTCCATTATACAAGGGGAACCAAAAATACCCGGAATTTATTTATTTTTAATTGTGTATTTTTTTACATGTTGCAACTTCAGTCACTGTCAAAGTACTTTCCATTTGATGTGATACTGCTCTTAAGATGTGTTTTGAACTTGCCAGTTTTGATGTTTTAGTCTTCTGCCATGTTTTGTTTTACCTCTTCCATATCAGAAAAATACTTTCCTTTGAGGACATTTTTCATCCAGGGAAACAAAAAATATTGCTCAGGGTGAGATCAGGTGACTAGGAAGAATGAGACACGGAGTCATGCCTTTTTTGGTAAAAAACAAACTGCTGAACACTCAGTGCAGTGTGGGCAGGTATGCTGTCATGGTGGACGAACTAGTCACCTCTTTGCCACAAAAAAAATTCACTGAAGCCGAATGCAGCCTCTCTCAACAATGCTAGCTGGTACATTGATGCTGATGGGTTCCTAGAACACTTAACTAGCAGGGGAAGCCTGTACTACGAAGGACCCATCCTCCAAAACATAATTCCAGGTTTTTTGGGGTCCCTCTCTTTCCATTCTCTGTGCCTTTGCAGTTCCTTAGTTTAGCTCCCACTTATCTGAGTGCAGGTGTCTTTTTTGTATAACAGCTTCTGTTCCTTTGAGTAGATACCTAATAATGGAATTGCTGGATTGAATAGTAGATCTGCTTCTTTTTTTGGTCTCTTCTTTACATTCTCTCTCTCTCTCTCTCTCTCTCTCTTTCTTTCATTTTATTAGCATTGAGGGTACAAATCGATTTCAGTTACATTGTATAGTGGTGAAGAAGTCTGGGCTTTAAGTGTATCTACCATTCTACCCTTGCACACTGTACCTGATAGATGATTTTTTATCTCTCCATGCCTTCTCCTCAACCCCCTTCTGAGTCTCCAAATTCCATTATATTCCTAGGCCCCAGTGTTTTGGGCATCAGGGGATGGTTTTGTGGAAGACAGTTTTTTCACAGATGGGGCTTGGGGGAATGTGCAGTCAAACCTCACTGCTTATGTTTATCTGTATTTGCAATTCCTCACTAGTGCAAGCATCACTATCTCACCTCTACCTCAGATCATCAGGTATTCAGTTCTCATAAGGTGAGATCCCTCGCATCCACAGTTCATAATAGTGTTCACGCACCTATGAGAATCTAGTGCCTCTGCTGATCTGAGAGGAGGCAGAGCTCAGGCAGTAATGTGAGTCATAGAGAATGGCTTTAAATACAGCTGAAGCTTCCTCAGTCACTGGCTGCTCACCTCCTGTTTTACAGTCTGGTTCCCAACAGACCACAAACTGTACCATACATGACTCAGAGGTTGGGGACCCCTGCATTATATCATTCTCTATGTCCTTGCAGATCCTCAGTTTGGCTCCCACTCATAACTGAGAACATGTAGTGTTTGGTTTTCTGTTCTTGTGTTAGTTCACTTAGGATGATGTTCTCCAATTCTATCCAAGTTATTTTATTTTTTATTTTTTTGAGTTGGCGTCTCACTCTGTCATCCAGGCTAGAGGGCAGTGGTATGCTCCCAGCCACCACAGCGACCGGCTGGGCTTAGGCGATCCTTCTGTTTCAGCTTCCACATCCAAGTTATTTTAAAAGACATTATTTCATTCTTTTTGAAAGCTGAATAGTATTCCATAGTGTATATATAACACAGTTTTATCATCCACTGATTAGTTAGTGGGCATTTAGGTTGATTCCACATCTTTGCGATTGTGAGCTGTGCTGCAGTGGATGTGTGAGTGCAGGTGTCTTTTCTATACAATGACCTCTATCCCTTTGGGTAGATACCTAGTAGTGGGATTGCTGGATCAATTGGTAGATCTATGTTTAGTTATTTGAGAAATCTCTATACCAATTTCCATAGAGGTTGTACTAATTTACACTCCCACCAGCAGTCCATAAGCATTCCCTTTTCACTGCATCTGAGCCGGCATCTAATATTTTTTGATTTTTTATTAATGGCCATTCTGATTGGTGTAAGGTGGTATCTCACTGTGGTTTTAATTTGCATTTTCCTGGCAATTAGTGATGCTGACCATTTTTTCATGTTTGTTGGTCATTTGTGTATCTTCTTTTTTGTTTTTGAGTTGGAGTCTCACTCTGTCACCCAGACTGGAGTGCAGTGGCCGCTCCCGGCCACCGCAGCCTCGACCCACTGGCCTCTGGCAATCCTTCCACCCCAGCCTTCCAAGTAGCTGGAGCTACAGGCGTGTGCTACCACGCCCGGCTGATTTTTTTATTTATTGTAGAGATGAAGTCTCACTGCCCAGGCGGGTCTTGAACCCGCGGGCTCTGGCAATCCGCTCACCTCAGCCTCCCAAAGGTGCGGGATTACAGGCTGAGCCACTGAGCCTGGCTGTGTATCTTCTTTTGAGAGATGTCTGTTCATGTCATTTACCCACTTTTAAATGGGGTTATTTGCATTTTTCTTGCTGATTCTGGATATTAGACCTTTGTCAGATGTGTAGTTTGCGAATGTCTTCTATTCTGTAGATTGCCTATTTGTTCTGTTGATTATTTATTTTACTGTGTAGAAGCTTTTTAGTTTAATTAAGTCCCACTTACTTATTTTTGTGTTTTTGTTACACTCTTTGCCCAAGCTGATGTCCAGAAGTATATTTCTTAGGTTTCCTTCTAGGATTTTTATGGCTTCAGGTCTGACATGTAAGTCTTTACTTCATCTTGATTTAATTTGTGTATATGTGGAAAGATAGGGATTAAGTTTCATTTTTCTTGTAGCTATCCGATTTTCCCAGTATCATTTGTTGCATAGGATTTTCTTTTCCCCTGTGTATGTTTTTTGTCTGCTTTGTCAAAGAGCAATTGATTGTAGGTATTTGAGTTTATTTCTGGATGTTTTTATTCTGTTCCATTGTTCCCTATGTCTTTTCTTGTACCAGTACCATGCTGTTCTGTTACTACAGCCTTATAGTATAATTTGAAGTTAGGTAATATGATGCCTCCAGCTTTGTTCCTTTTGCTTGAGATTGCTTTTGCTATTTTGGTTCTTTTTTAGTTTCCTTAGAAATTTTTTTAATATCATAGTCCAACCTTAATACATAATAGAATATATTGGAAAGCCACAAGTCAGACAGTATTGAGTCATAAAAACTGAATTGTTTTTAATTCAGTGCAATACAGACTTCAGAGATAGTCTCAACTATGAATAAAAGCTTAATAAATTGTTTTAAACCAAGAGAATGAATAATTTTTCATAATAATTAGTATGATGGTAACCAGATAACACTTTGTAAAAATTGTTTACCCACACTATATATCACAATAAACTCTAGGTTCATGAAGAGGTAAAATATTTTAATTGAAAGTGTAGAAAAATAGAAAGAAAATGGAATATTTTAGATCTGTATTATCATAACAGCTCAATTGCTAGGCATCAGATCCAATAGCAAAGATAAGGTGGTAGGTTTAAATCTGTTCAAACATTTAAAATATTTTTATTTTTCTAATAAATAGCGAGGTAAAATTAAGGTAATAATAAAAATAGGAAAAGTAAATCAAACATGAGAAACTTTAACAATATTAATGATAAAGAGTACATACAAATTTATAAGAAAACCAAGAGTCTAGGGATAAGTATGCCAAAGATCTGAGCAGAAAATCTTCATGGGAAGTTCAAACAGCAAAAAATCAGAGGAAGAACATTCATACCTACCAGTATTAGGGAAATGCAAACTTAAAAAAACCGAAGATGCCATTTTATGCTATCTGTATAACTCCTCTCTTCTGATTATAATGCACAAAATAAAATATATTGCAGTGTAAATATATATTTCCCTCTCAGTGTCACAACCATGTTGGAAAATAATGTGGCATACAACAGAAGTAAATGATATATCCCTTGTATTTGTCATCTTATTCCACAGATTACTTAAGGAAGTAATTCAGCATAAATAAAAATCTATTTTAATGCTTTTCTTAAGTTATGTAGTAGTACATGAGTTATTGTCTATACTTTTTAGTATGTCTTAAATATTTTTAAAGGAAATTTAAGAGGAAACAATATGAAGGTGAGGATATTTGTCTCAGAGCTCAGATGTGAGATGGAATAATATAGTTGTGTAGAATATAGAAAATAAAACAGGCCTAGAGATTTTTCCTTAAGAACATGAATGACCTGAATATATAAATGCAGAAGCATGGAAATGAGAGAACAGTGTTTGTGTTGCTTCTCAAGCTTTAGCAGGCATGAAAATCACCTGCAGTGTTTTTTTTTTTTGAATTGGAGTCTCACTCTGTCACTCAGACTGAAGTGCAGTAGCCGCTCCCAGCCACTGCAGCCTCGACCTCCTGGGCTCCAGCGATCATTCTGCCTCAGTCTTCCAAGTAGCTGAAACTACAGGCACGTGCTACCATGCCTGCCTAATTTTTGATTTATTGTAGAGAAGAGGTCTCGCCAAGTTGCCCAGGCAGGTCTTGAACCAGCAGGCTCAAGCAATCCACTCACCTCGGCCTCCCAAAGCGCTGGGATTATAGGCTAAGCGACTGAGCTTGGCGCAGTGTTTGTTAAAGCATAGATTCCTGAGCTTTACTCCTAGAGATAATGATTTGGTGAGTCTGGAGTGAGTCCAAAGAATTTGCATTTCTTTCAGGCTCCCTGATGATTGTGACACTGTTGGTCTTTGGACCACACTTGGCACTAGTCTGGATGATTATATCAACCAAAACATAAAGTTAACATGTTGTGCATCCTTCCTCCAAACCAAAGGAGGTCCAAAAAGGGCCAGATTCATAGCATTGCATTGAGGGTTCTTTTAAGATTACAGTGATCTGTTGAGATCTGTGGCAATTTAAGGCCACTTTCTGGAATTCAGAACTAGTCGAGTTGGTTCAGTGGTTCTCAAACTTTGCTGCACAATGGAATAACTTGAAAATCTTTAAAACAATACTGTTGCCTGCCCCCAACCTCAAACTTTATTTTTTTATTGGTTTAGGATGTGCCCTGGGTATTAGGATTTTTTTTAATTGATATTTTTAATTTTGATATTGTGGGGTACAGTTAAGGGTTAGGTATACAAATATGCTTCATTTAGGCCCCATTGTTGATAACAGGTGTCTCCCCGTCCCCAGACAGATGTTTACTACCATTAGTCCCACCCCCCCTTCTCCTTCCCCTATAGTTTCCCCCACCACTGTCAGTCATTTTCTTATGGTAGTGCGTTGGATGATCAAGTGAGAACATGTGATACTCAGATCTTTGTTTCTGTGAGAAGTCACTCAGTATTATAGACTCTAGTTCCATCCAAGTTGCTGCGAAATTTATGATTTTGTTCTTTTTTATGGCTGCATAGTATTCCATCATGTATATGTACCTCATTTTTTAAATCCAGTCCTCTTTTGATGGACAGCGTGGTTGGTTCCAGGTTCTTGCTATTGTGAACAATGCTGTGATAAACATTCGTGTGCAGATGTCTTTTTTATAGAGTGATTTGAGTTCTTCAGGGTATATTTCCAGTAGGGGGATTCCGGGTCATATGGGAGGTTGATGTTTAGAGCTTTTAGGAATCGCCACACTGCTTTCCACAGAGGTTGCACTAGTTTACACTCCCACCAACAGTATAGGAGTATTCCCTTTTCGCCACACCCTCTCTAACAGCTATTATCTTTTGAGTTATTGATAATTGCCATTCTGACTAGAGTTAGGTGGTATCTCAATGTGGTTTTGATTTGCATCTCCCTGATGATTAGTGAGGTTGAGCATTTCTTCATGTGTTTGTTGGCTGCTCGGATGTCTTCCTTTGTGAAGTGTCTGTTCCTATCTTTTGCCCATTTTATAATGGGGTTGTTTGTTTTTTTCTTTTCAGCATGTTTGAGTTCCTTGTAGATTCAAGATGTTAAGCTTTTGTCAGACCTGGAGTTGGCAAATACTTTTTCCCAGCCTGTAGGCTGTCTTCCTGCTCTCTTGATGGTTTCTTTGGCTTTGCAGAAGCTTGTCAGTTTAATGATGTCCCAGTTGTCTATCTTATCCCTTATGGCCTGTGGGTTTCGAGTTTTGTTCAGGTATTGGAAGGACTTTTTTTAATGTGCAGCAAAGTTTGGGAACTATTGAGTTGATCAATGCTGTTAAATTCTTCCTATAAAACTTTACGTGAGAAGATGCACATTTTTGGCAAGTCTGGGCTAGTCATCCAAATTCCATGGAATCTTCTGCCTCCACCCAAGTCACCTGACAATGATATCCCAGCATCCATTGCAACATGACCTATTTTCTCTAAAATCACTTTTTAAACATGTTCCAAATCATGAGTGAACTGTTCAGCTGGTAGCAAAGAATTTGTGGTGAATTTGTTTGTAAAGTTCACCTTAGATATTGGTTCCTTTAGTAGAAAATTTAGTAAGCATATGCCCTACCTCATCATCCTGATCATATATATAAATAGAGAGAGTATCGATTAATGGCAACTTCCTCTATCTAGGCCAAGCCTCAGGAGATGCCCAATTATGTCTTTTGACACCTATTGTGTCCTTATGACTTCTTTGAATTCAGTTAGGGAATATTAGAAGTAAAAGGTACTCAAGGTCATTATCCAGTCTGTTCCGTAGGTGAAGATACTAAGTGCCAAAGAGATTGTGTGACTTTTCCATAGCCATGTATCCAAAAGTAATAGTAGCTATGTGACATTCATTGAATCCTTATTATCTTCCAGGCTCTGGGTTTAGTACTTTGAATGGATTATCTCTTTGTGTCATTTAATCCTAAACAATTCTATCAGATTGGCCTTGTAATCATTCCCATTTTATAGATGAGGAAATTGAGGATCAAAAAGTTGAGGAAAGGGCCTATGATTTCACAGTTAATTCTAGCAGTTTGTCTCCAGAGTCCCCTCTGTTAAGCAGTTACACTAGGCTGCCTCTGCTATCAGTGGCAGGATTAGAACCAGAGCCCAGGTTTTTTGATATCCCCATTACTTTTTGGTTATCTGTTATTTTCTACGATCCACTAGGCCTATTATTCAGTTATAAAAACACATTAGATTAATGAGAAAGTGACCTTTTCTGTTTGGTATTGTCATTTAATAAACTAGTCTAACCATTAAAGTTGCATTAACATACAGTTACCTTTATCAGCTGTTAATTATGCAGGTGTGTGTTATATTCAAAAGTAATAGTAAGATTTCCTCATAAGACTTCTTTTACTTTAGGTAAAGATAATTTGTCGGGGCCATAGATAAAATTTGACACTGTATCTGTATTTTTTAAAAAAACTGATATGAAGTATTTTTCTAACATTAGTTTTTGCTAATTATATAATTCGTATACATGTATATTTTGGGGTGAGGAGGCCAGTTTCAGCTTCTACTTTCCCATCAAGAAACTAATATTTTGTTTTTAAATAACATTAGACAAATAATTAAGAGATTTAAAATGAAGGAAAAGTTCCTTAATTGTAGTTAAGTATATTTTTTTAGAATAATGTCTTCACTAAAATCACTTTTCCTCTTAATTTTGATATTAAATTTCTTAAATTCAGAGCTTAACCCAAATAGCTACTTTTTTGTGTGTGAATGAAGAGAATCATAAAGACTTTTTAAATGTATGTTGTTATATTCTTTAGATGGCATTTGCTGTTTCTGAAGCTAAAGAGAAATGGAAAAGTGAGTTTGAAAATATGAAGAAAAATTTAATACCTGAAAAGGAATTGGAAGAGAAGATTCATTCTCTTCAGAGAGAACTAGAGTTAAAGAATGAGGAAGTCCCTGCAGTCATCAGGGCCGAATTGGCGAAGGCTCGGAGTGAATGGAACAAAGAAAAGCAAGAAGAAATACACAGAATTCAAGAACAAAATGAGCAAGATTACCGGCAATTTCTAGATGATCATCGAAATAAAATTAATGAGGTGCTTGCGGCAGCTAAAGAAGACTTTATGAAACAAAAAACTGAACTCCTTCTTCAAAAGGAGACAGAATTACAAGCATGTCTAGACCAGAGTCGTAGAGAATGGACTATGCAGGAAGCCAAGCAAATCCAACTGGAAATCTATCAATATGAGGAAGACGTCCTAACTGTACTTGGTTTTCTCTTAAGGGATACCCAGAAGGAGCACTTCAGTGATTCAGAGGACAAGCAGCTTTTGGAAATTATGTCGACTTGTTCTTCAAAGTGGGTGTCTGTGCAATATCTTGAAAAACTAAAGGCCTGCATACAGAAAGCATTTCAGGATACACTGTCTCTACTTACAGAAAATGCCAACCCAGAATGGGAAAAGGTATGTTCCTAAGAGTGAAAAGAACTCTTGAACATTGATTATTGTAGAAGTTGTAATGTGGCATTATTTCTTTTTAAAATCTTTTTATTTTATATTTTATTTTATTTTAAAGATATGGGGTACAATTCAGGATTAGGTATACAAGTGGACATCATAGAGGTAAAGTTTGGGCTTTCCTTTGGTCCCCACTTTTCCTGGTTTGAGATTGGGTACCCTAATTTCTTTTCTTCATTATAGTTTAATAGATATAAGACTTGTGTTTTTGCCAGTGGTTTAAAAAACTTTTTGTAAGCCGGGCTCAGTGGCTCAGCCTGTAATCCCGCGTTTTGGGAGGATTAGGTGTGAGTGAATTGCCTGAGCCTGTGGGTTCAAGACCCGCCCGGGCAACTTGGCAACACCTCGTCTCTACAATAAATAAAAAATTAGCCGGGCATGGTAGCACGCACCTGTAGTTCCGGCTACTTGGAAGGCTGAGGCGGAAGGATCACTGGAGCCCAGCAGGTCGAGGCTGTGGTGGCCGGGAGCGTGCCACTGCACTCCAGTCTGGGCGACAGAATGAGACTCCAACTCAAAAACAAAAACAAAAAACTTTTTGTAACAATTCCAAAGGTTTGCATTTTTGTTGCCAAAAACACTTTACTTCCTAGTGTGACAAATATGAGCTTTTAGCCTCTAGACATCTTTTTCCTAAAGAATATATGTTATTGTTGCTAAGTGTCGGAGATTTCAGAAACGGAATAACTCTTATTCCTATTTTTGCATCATATTAAACTAGCGTTTCTTAGAAGCTTCTAAATAGTTTGGAAGTATATTTTTTGCCTTCAAGAAATTTATATCTAATTTAAGCAAAAAAGTGCCAACCAAATAACAAAGAGTATTAATACAGAAACAAGCAAACAGAGATATAGCTCACTTACACAAAATTCTAAAGCCCAGTTTTATTGGTGTACTATATATGTGCATGTAGAATGAATTAACTGTATTCCTTGTACTCCCTGAGATAAGCATTTATTTTGTGTGGAAGATCTGATAAAATCAGAATCTTGCTATCTTGATGAAAGAAGTTAGATACAGATGAAAGATCCAGAATGTGATAGTCTAAGTATTGTAATTAGCCAATTTCAAAATTTGGAATTAGAGGTGGAATAACATGCCAATATTATAATTTGTCTGGTAGAAGAGTTGTGATATAAGAGTTAAGGTCCAGGATATTATGATTAAAGATTTTCAAGGCCAAGATTGAGCATTTGGCATTAATACCTACTTGAGAGACTTATAAACTAGAAAAAAAAATTTTAGTTTCAGTTCTGTAATTGCTAATAACTAGCCTATTACTTTGGGTAGTCATACACTATTAGTTGCTCGCCTGAAAAACAAAATACAAATCCCTGGCCTAATTCCTTGTGTTTGGTAGAATATGTGTGGACATAGCTTGGCCTTTCTGCATCCTACATTTGAAACAGTACAGAATTTTAGGGCCAGGAGGGATCTGAAAGATCAGTCCACCTCATTCCAGTTCACCCCAGGAGATATTTTTATCCTTGATTTCACAAATATGTTATTACTGAGTGGTTTCCTTCAATGTAAAAATAATTGGGCAAGATCACTTGCTATGAATACTACTTAATACTTTACTGAGAATTTTTGAACAAAATAGATAATTAAGATAAGAATTTAGAGAAAAAAAATTTATTATTATTTTTGTTGGTTTTGGTTTTGGTTTTGTTTGAGACAAGGTCTCACTGTCACTCAGCCTGGAATGCAGCAGTACAATCACAACTCACTGCAGCCTCGAACTTCTGGGCTTAAGCAATCCTCCTGCGTCAGCTTCCCCAGTAGCTGGGACTGTAGGCATGTACCACACACCCAGCTACTGTTTTTGTATTTTTTGTAGAGGTGAGGGGTCTCACTTTGTTGCCCAGGCTGTGAAGAAAATAGATAATTTAAATTAAGATTTCCTGTAGCAGGTTTTGAAGATGAGAAGTGATGGAAAAATTATATGCTTTCAAGTTTGCTTTCCTGAAAAGGCAATCTACATTATAAAAATCAAGAAACTACAGCACCTTTCTCCTACCATTAATATATACATACAAAACCAACCCTGAAATTTTTTTTTACAGGATTACAATTGTGGAAGCAGAGTAAGATCATCTGTGTGACTTAATGTGTTTCATAAGTCTATGGAGAGACTCATAATCTGGCTAAGAATTTAGACGTTTACAGCTTTTGTTGGGTGGGTCAGATTCCATTCCTGAGAAACGGATGCCTTTGAAATGCCTAATCTGGTATTTGTCATAGAAATAATACTTGACCTTCTGCCATGTGTGAGCCCACTCAGCTCAGGGTTTTGAGGTAAAGCAACAATGATAAATTTGGTATATGGGTGCTGCAAATATGAAGAACTATATTTTATAATGCATTAAATCTGTAGGTTTTAGAATTGTTCATGGAAATTAAAATAGAAAAAAATGTTTATCAGTTATTTATATTAAAATAACTAAGATGATCAAAAGTTTTTTTTTTAATGGAGAAGATGCAATGAATGAAAAACATAATTTTTAGGAAAATGAATGCCTTATCAAAATATATTAACAAAATATTTTATAATCAAATAAAACAAATACCAAATGGAGCCAATTTTATAGCAAACTAGAGATGTATGTTCTTTCTCCTTTTACAGTCAAAGTCAAGTTGAAACTAAGACAAAAATGTTGCCACTCTCCTACCTTTTTTGTTATCTTGGCTTTTCTTCTCCAATTTTGAGTAAAAACTAGAAACACTGACTGCCTTTGGATTCAGCTTTTCTTACTCTTTCGGCCTCAACCTAATAGCCTCTTGATTGCATAGAATTTGCCTTTTCTCTGTAATTGCCTCTGCTTCTGTTGCACATTGTAGGTAGGTTTCCAGAGAGTCAGTTAGATGGGTTTCTCCTAATCACAGTCAAGAGTTCTAAGAATCAAGCATATATAATAAGTTTTAAATAATTAAACATAAAGACTGCTTTCTCAATATCACTTATTCTGTTCCTTTCAGATTTAGGAGTTTTCCAAAATCTGAAAATATTGCCAATAAAAAAATCTACTCATGAATTTAGTAGCTGGCCCATGACAGGAAGAGTGGAACACAAACACATTTAATAAAATGTTAGTGAAGAAATGGTCTTTTGCAAGATGTTTGACTTAGCTAAGCCTTAGTTTCTGTCTTTTACGTTGGAATTCAACTGGCTTTTGTAGACGAAATGGTCTTGTGCAAGATGTTTAAGTAACTAAGCCTCAGTTTCTGTCTTTAACATTGGAATTCAACTGGACTTTTTACAAAATGACAGTGCATGTTAAAGTATTTAGGCACATATAAAGTACTGTATAAATTTTAAATTATTTTTACTGTTATTTTCAATTCATGGGAGGCAAAAGGTTAGTATTAGAGTGGCTAATGAATTTGACCTCTGCTGCCATAAAAACGTTCTGGATTTTCAAGAATGATTTTGATTTCATACTGTCTGTCCTATGGTTTGATAACACAAACAGTTAAAAATATCTTAAATGTATATGTGCAAGTGTGCTAACCATATCTTCCATCTGTCTCATAGCTGGCCCACCAATCCTCTGTCCGACAATGTTCTAATTGGAAAATGTGGTCATAGTATGGTGACAACAGTAATCATGTAATGCCCTTCAAAAAATATTGGTGATAATTCAGGCGTGATTTTTTTTCCAGGCAGTGTTTTCTTTTTGTATTATTACTTTTTTTTTTTTTTTAAAGATGTGGGGAACACACATGTTCTCATTCATAAGCAGACCCTGAACAATTATTATAATACTACAAGAAAGAGATTGGCAATAGTGGGAAACTGCCAGAGGAGTTGCGGGGGGGGGCACATTTCACCATTATAAGAATATGTGATCTCAAACCAGGTGAAGTGGGGACCAAAGTAAGGTCCAAACTTTACCTGTACAATGACCAGTTGTATACCTAACCCTGAATGGCACCCTACATCTTTAAAATAAAAATTAAAAAAAAAAATAAAGATGTGGGTTACCATTCAGGGTTAGATACATAAGTGGTCATTGTATAGGCCAAGTTTGGGTCTCCCATTGGTCCTTACTTCACCTGGTTTGGGATCAGATACCCTTATTAACATTATATACCCTCTCCCCTTCCCTGGCAGTGATCTGCTTCTGATGATCTTTCATGTAGTATTATGATAAAATGTTCAGTCCACTTAATAGTGAGAGTGTGTGGTACTCAGTTCTTTGTTTCTGTGATAGATTACTGAGCATGATAGGCTCTAAATCCATCCAAGTTGCTGTGAAAACCATAATTGTATTTTTAATATTAGCATTTTAAATAGAAAATTGTGTAAAGATTTTATTTTACTAGACATTAACTTTCAAGATAATTTATTTCAGAAAAATACGACCGAGATCTCTAAGGATCCTGCCAACCAGGGCACTGACCAAGGAGACCCGGGAGTCTCAGCTGCTCTTCCTGCACCCACTTCTGGACACTACGCTCAGCTCTTGACCGTGGAAGACACAGAAGCAGAAGCTGGTAACTGGATTTTACTTTCACCAGTCTTTGTAGCATCCGTAATCACCATTCCAGAGGATCACTTTGAGGACAATAGGAGATCAAAGATGTGAACAGTTTTCCAAGTGAACAAATGTGTAATATTACTCTGACTTAATGTGTATTCTCCCCTTAGATTGTATTTCATATTTAGAAGACAGGGTTGATTTAGGCCTTCTTACTTCTTTGTATGGTTTTCCCTCCATCACAAGTGGTTCTTATTACAAGGAGAATAATGAGAATTTTAATAGAGCAGTCATGTTTTTTTTATTCCCTAACTGTTGAAAAATCAAATCAAGAATTTCACATAAGAGATTTGCCAAATAATGGAGACTTTATTCAAATTGCTAAACCTTATTGCAGCCATTTAAAAAAAATAATTAATTAATTTAAAAAATTTAAATTTAAAAAATTTTTTGAGTTGGAGTCTTACTCTGTTGCCCAGGCTGGAGTACAATGGCACACTCACGGCCACCACAGCCTCGACATGCTGGGCTCAGGCAATCCTTCTGCCTCAGCCTTCCATGTAGCTGTAACTACAGGTGTGTGCCACCACACCCAGCTAATTTTTAAAAATTTATTGTAGAGATGAATTCTCAACATGTTGCCCAGGCTGGTTTTGAACCCCTGGACTCAGGCATTCCTCTTGCCTCTGCCTCCCAAAGTGCTGAGATTATAAGCGTGAGACACCACACCTGACTACAATCATTTTTAAGTGGAAATCTTTGTGAGGTGTATTAGATGTTTCCTAGTTTATTTATGAGTTTTTGAGGACAGTGGCAGTGTTTTTCATCTCCAACACATGGCAGAGGGAGTGGTATATAGTTTGTGTTCTTGAACATTTGACGAATTAATAGTTTAACTTTCCTTAATAACTTAGACATGTCATTGTGACAAAGAAGTATTGTACTGTACTAGAGCCTCTTGTATTCATAGCTAACTGAGGAATATTGGGTTTATATTGCCTATTCATTGAAATTTCAGAGCTAGGAACTGGCAAATCCTTTATTAGCTTCCATCCTTTTTAGGATATTGTTTCTTTATAGCCTGCTTCTTTCCTCACATACAAGCACACAACACCCACCTCTGCTACTTGTTTGCTCTTTCCATTGTAACTTGGAAAAGAACTAATAATTGTGAGAGCAGTCATACCTACTGAGTCAGTAACCTTAGTTTCTACACATTTCCAATTCAGTAGGCATTGTTACCAGGATGTCTACCTGCCTTAAGGGGTCACTTGACAGTGACTGAGCATATCTTACTGCTAATTAGGTGGATAGTAATTCCTGTCTTAATTTGTATTTTGTTTCTTGCTTTTTATTTTATGTCCTAATTGGAATAGCCTGAGAATTATATTTTAATCTGTGAAATGAGTAGAAACAAATTGTAAATGTTATTTGACTGGAAAGTCCTGTCAGTATGAAAGAAATTAATTTTAGACAAAGACAAATCAGACCATAAAAAGATTTATTTTTCTTTCTTTAGTCTTTTTTCCCTTAAAGACAAACACATTAACAAATGTATTAGAAAGGATTAAATAATGCAGAGCATGCATTAAATGATCAAGTACTTAGTAATCCTGTCACCAGAGAGTACTACTGTTGACTCCTTGGTTATAGTCTCCTAATATCTTACTATTTTTAAAAGTGCTTTAAACATTAATTATGAAATACTTGATTCATGCAAAGAGTACATGTGATGCATATGTACGTTATGAAGCCTAGTAACCAGGAACCCCATTATTTAACTTAAACCATAAAACATCACCAAGCCGGGCTTGGTGGCTCAGCCTGTAATCCCGTGTCTTTGAGAGACTGAGGTGAGTGCATTGCCTGAGCCCGCAGGTTCAAGACCCGCCTGGGCAACTTGGTGAGACCTCATCCCTACAATAAACCAAAATGAGCAGGGTGTGGTAGCATGCGCCTGTAGTTCCAGCTACTCGGAAGGCTGAGGCGGAAGGATCATCGGAGCTCAGCAGATCGAGGCTGCGGTGGCCGGGAGCGGCCACTGCACTCCAGTCTGGGTGACAGAGTGAGACTCCAACTCAAAAAAAAAAAAAAAACCATCACCAATACTATTGACTAGAGTTATATCTCCACAACTTCCCCCCAATCTGAGGTAACAAATATTATGTTTTAAAAAATTATTCTCTTGCATTTTTAAATGTTTTGACCAAATTTATATATCTTCAAAAAATTGTTGCTTTTTTGTCTTTTAACATTATAAAAACAGTTTAATATTCATTATATTCTTTGTAACTTGCTTTTCTTCTATTTAAAATCTTGCTCTAACATTTGTCTGTGTTGATGCACACAGCTCTAGTTCATTCATTTTCATTGCTTCATACATAGCATTCCACGAATATGCTATGATTGATTTATCTGTTTTCTTGTCAATGGGCATTTGCATGGTTTCCAATTTTATAACAGTATCTTAAATGAAAAATATAAATGCAATGTAGGGTACCAATATGATGCCTCATTGATCCTTTGATGCTCATTTAAATGAAACTAAACTGTTAGGAAAGAGCTAAGAATAATTTTGCTGGACGAATGAATATTGGCCTCTGAGCCTATGCCAATTTGTACTTCTACTTTATTATATCACTTCTGTTAATAGGAATAATCTACCATGTATATCATTTTTGTATATTTTAATTTTATAAATTGTATATATTATTAATGACAATAGCTATCATTTATTGTGTATTTTCTCTATGCCGAGTATTATGTCAAACAATTTTTATACATTTATATCTCAACACTGTTTAAATTTGGATATAGTTTCAAATTTATAGAAAAGGAGCAAAAGTAAAAATAGTTGCAAAGAACACTCCTATACCCTTTATTTATTTTTGGTTATTTATTTATTTATTCATTTATTTATTTTAAGTCAGAGTTTCACTCTGTCGCCCAGGCTGGAGTGCAGTGGCACACTCATGGTCACTGCAGCCTCGACCTGTTGGACTCAGATGATCCTTCTGCCTCAGCCTTCCAAGTAGCTGGGATTATAAGCATGTGCCACCATGCACAGCTATTTTTATTTATTTATCGTAGAGATGTGGTCTTGCTGTGTTGTCCAGACCGGTCCTGAATCCTTGGACTCAGGTAATCCTTTCGCCTCCGCCTCCCAAAGTATGGGGATTACAGGCGTTGGCCACTGCACTCAGCTTCATATACCCTTTATCTAGATACACCTATTAACATTTCATTCCATTTTGTGCTATTCTGTATATGTATATGTGAATATCTCACTTTTTAATGAACCACTTAAAGGCAACTCATATATACATTGTAACCTAAACAGTCTATGTATTTCAGACTATATTTTCCAAGAATAGGATTTTTTTTTCATAATGTTAGTAACAGTAAGTGTAACATTAGATAAAAGTATTGTATCCATCTACTGTTTGTATACTAATTTTGTTAATTGACCCAATTATGTTTTGGATAGCATTTTTTTTTCTCTTTTGGTACAGGAGTCTGTCTGGAGTCAAGTATTGTTTAATTTCATGTGTCTTTAGTCCCCTTTAATCTAGAACATTTCCACAGTTCCTCTTTTGTCTTGTATAACATTGACTGTTTTGAGAAAAATAACTCTTCCTCTCTCCACCCTTCTTTAACAGAATATTGTCTTGTATTGGTGAAGTTAATTTTGATCAACTGGTTAAAATGTTGTCCAGTTCTTTACTGTATAAATACTGGGATTTTTTTTTCACCTTTGCAACTAATAAGCAATCTGTGGGGAGACACTTTTAAAGCCATAAAATACTCTTCTCATCATTAAAATCTTCTCTTAGACATGGTAATCACTGATGATTCTTGCCTGATCCAGTCTTTATTATGGTGGGCACAAAATTACAATTTTTCTAACTCTAGACCTCCCTTCACTTATCCAACTGGCATTTGGCATGTTGTTATAATCAAGAATTCTCCCCTTTCATTTGCCTGTGTATGTATCTGTCTTTCTGATCCACCCATCTACCTACCTGCTTACCAACCTACTTACCCACCCATCCATTCATTCGTAGGATTATTAGTATGACTCATAAATTTCTATTTTTTTAGTACTTTATAATTCATTACTATATTTAACTAGGGCTCAGATTGTTTCAGATTCAGCTAGTGGAGCTCCTTCAAACTGGCTCCTATGTCCTTATGATATGCCTATATTTTTGAGTATTTTCTGGCATACCAAGACATTTCAGTCTCATTTTCTTTGTACTCTCTCCCAGTACTGAAGTAAGCTATTTCTTGAAGATCCCTGACTCCTTTTAGTAGGGAATGGTATCAATACTAAGATCCCAAGTATTAGGTTTCATAGCAACTTTTAAAGTAGCTAGTATTATCCAATATTACATATTTAAAAACTAAGCCTCAGAAAAGTTAAGTCATGCACTCCAAGCCACACAGCGCATAAGTAGTAGAAACAGGATTTAAACCTAGATCTCTCTTATCTTAAACATCAGACTCTTTCAGTCACACTGTTGCCTTTAGTCATGAGTCATGTCATCTGGTTTTCCCTTCTTTCTTTCTTTTCTTTTTTTTTTTTTTTTTTGGTAGTTTGCTCTTAGACTAAACTGATATAAAAGTTTTTTATTATTTAATTTTTGCAGATAAGAAAAAGATCCTTGAAATTAAAGATTTATGCTGTGGCCATTGCTTCCAAGAACCTGAAAAGGCAAAGCAGGAATGTCAAGATCTGAAAAGAAAACTGGAGAAATGCTGTAGGCATCTTCAGCATTTGGAAAGGAAACACAAAGCTGTAGTGGAAAAAATTGGAGGTTAGCATTTAAAGTAGCACTGCTACCAGTATAAATCTCTTTGATCCTTGTTGAAATGTTCAAAGTGACATTTTTGTTAATGTGTGCACTGATTCTCTTTTGGGATTAATGTAAACTAATTTGGGTCTTATTTTTACTAAAAATAATTATTACTAAACTCAAAAGAGGAATATTTCAGCTCTGATTAAAAGGTCATGTTCTGTTCTTCCTTTCTTGATTGAACAGATTTTGTGGGCCCAATATATGTCAAGCAGCATTATAGGCACTGGCGATGCAGCAGTGAATAAATCAGACAAAATTCCGGTTCTAATGGAGATGTAAAAGATTGTGTTTTCTTCCTTCAAGAAGCTTATGGTTAGGTGAAGAGATCTAAAGACAGATTAACAAATAATTCAACATTGAGTGCTATTGGCAATGTATTCTGTATGATCAGAAGAAAGAATATTAACTCTCCCTCTTATTAGAGTTAAGAAGGGTTTCACTAAGCCTTGAGAAATGGAGGTGTTTGCCAAGGAGAACAACAGCATTCACCATTCTAGGCAGAGGAAAAGGTGTCAACAAGGGCATATGGGTCTGGCCTGGCCTTTGTCCACTTCTTTCATCACAATCCTGTCAAGGCAGTCTTTTGGAAATGACTATCTTCCGCCATTTTCCATTGTCCTGAATAAGGGAAGCTTTTGGGCTTACGTGGCTACTCTCTCACTTGTCACTATTCACTTATACCCTGTGCTCTATACTGCATTTTAAATGTTCAGATTCCTGAGCTGACCATATTTTCTTTCACTGCTGAATTTTGCATATGCTGTTATCACTCAGTCCTGTACTTTATCCTGCCGTTTACTTTTTGGTCTAACTCTATCCTTTAGGATTCAACTTTGAAGATGCTTCATTTCCAAAGCTCTCCTTGGTTTTCTGTCTGGGATAACTGGGCTGCTCTGTGTGGCCCTAGAGTTCTTGGCTCTTTCTCTATTACCTCTATTACAATTCTGCATTTTAATTATTTGGTTACTTGCCTGATATTCTCTCCAAAGTATCGGTTCCTTGAGGATAAGGAATATGTCTTACCTTGTTTGTCCTTGTAGTACATACCAGACAACAAATGTTTGAATGAATAAAAAAAAAAAACAAATGCAAAGGTCCCAAATAGTAGTGTCATCCAGAAAAGATCAGGCAAATAGGTTCATTTATTTTCTACATTTGCCTCTATCTCTTGCCTGGACAGTGGCTGGAACAACTTTTTAAAAAAGTGAATTGGACACTCTCTTGTTTAAACACTCTTGTTTAAAGCTCTTCAGTACCTTGCCATGGCCCTTAGTATGAAATTCAAATATAGAACCGGGCTCGGTGGCTCAGCCTGTAATCCCGCGCCTTTGGGAGGCTGAGGTGAGAGGATTGCCTGAGCCCGCGGGTTCGAGACCCACCTGGGCAGCGAGACCTCATCTCTACAATAAATCAAAAAATCAGCCGGGCGTGGTAGCGCATGCCTGTAATTCTGGCTACTGGGAAGGCTGAGGCGGAAGGATCGCTGGAGCCCAGCAGGTCGAGGCTGTGGTGGCCGGGAGCGGCCACTGCACTCCAGTCTGGGCGACAGAGTGAGACTCCAACTCAAAAAAAGAAATTCAAATATATAATCCTGGCTACCCCCGACTTGTCTTTTCCTCAGTACATTACTTCCTCCGGCAGACTTTCCTAACTATAGGAGGACCTGGTTAGGTCCTCCTGTTATATACATTCCCCCATAGCTTCTATGGTTTTCATAACATTTATCATCCTTGTAATTATTTATTGTCTGTACTCCCCTATTGAGTGTAGAATTTATGGTAACAAAGACCAAGTCCTATCCCTACACTTAGCACAGTCCCTGGCATCATAGCATATACTTGATAAATATTGTTGACTGAGAAAAATCACTTACTACCACCTACTGCTTACTAAGTCTATTAGAGACAGATAATAATTACTGGGAGGCTAGAAAGGGTTTTAAGAAGTTTGAGATAAAGAGATTCACGACTGTACTTCCTTTTGTGATTACTTAGATCTTTTGTAGAGGCCTGGAGAGTAAATGAGATATTTATCCCAACTATAGGTATAGATACAACATAGCTATGGTAAGATTTAATAAAAAGCCAGGAAAATGTGTTTGACATAACACAATGATAAGGATAATTAGGTATGATTATTATTTATATATAATATTTAACATCATAGATTGTGATCATAAAATCGTTATTCTACATAAGGCTCTTTGGAGCTTATATCTTCTACAATTTGTAGACTTGCAGATAATCCAAGGAGGCTGTTTCTTCACCCAATAATGGGCTGATAGAAGAAGTCAGGGTCAAAATTTAAGTCACTTAGTAGTTTTATTTGATGTTTTTTCTTAATATAAATCTATCAGGCACTATTGATATTGTGATTGCTTCTTTTTTGGTTCATAAATTCCATTTTCTACTCGAGTTTATTGAAAAGTGATGGAATAGGAGTGAGTGGTTTAAAATTATATGTTCTATCAGTCACCAGGGAGAATAGAGTGATTTGGTTCCTCAGTTTACGGATGTGTTGGGGTGGCATTGTAGAAAACAGGAGGTGCCCTGCTCACATTTATTGAACATTGATTGGTATTGCTGGGCCTTGTGTAAGATGTTGTGCATTTATTGTTTGATTTTTACTATAATCTATAAGGTAATACTATCCCTATTTTACATGTGAAAGAACTCAGGTTCAGGAAGGTTAAATAATTTGCCCTAGGCTTATCCAACAAGTAAGAAGCAGAGCTAGGTAGGATTTAGACTTATGTCTCTCTGATTCTGAAATCTTACCTTTTCCTTCACACCACATTGACTAATCAGTCTTCTCATCCTCTTTTTTATTTATTTTTTTTGTTTTGTTTTGAGTTGGAGTCTCACTCTGTCGCCCAGACTGGAGTGCAGTGGCCGCTCCCGGCCACCGCAGTCTCGCCTGCTGGGCTCCGGCGATCCTTCTGCCTCAGCCTTCCAAGTAGCCAGAATTTCAGGCATGTGCTACCACGCCCGGCTGATTTTTTGATTTATTGTAGAGATGAGGTCTTGCCGCCCAGGCGGATCTCGAACCCGCGGGCTCAGGCAATCCACTCACCTCAGCCTCCCAAAGGTGCGGGATTACAGGCTAAGCCACCGAGCCCGGCTTCATCCTCTTTTTAAAAGTTCAAAGAATTGAAAATTTTACATTATTTCTGAAAATGGCACCTACTTGAAGTTGATTTTCTTTTTATTTTGTATTGAGGTGCTTATTCAATGATCATTTATATAAGCTTACACTACCTACCAGGATCCACAGGGAACATGGAATTAGACAGGTTTCTACAAGACTTCAGTCTAACTGGGAAACAAAACACATGTATATGAAACAATTGGAATCCAATCCCAGGACAGCAAATGGAATTTCATTCCAAAGCAAGAAGAAGATAGAATACAGATTTTAAGTGCTGAGAAAGCAGAGCAAGGCAGTAGTCAGTCTCGGGTTAAGCAGGGAATGAATGACACAGGAGAGTGACTAGAAATTATGCAGTTTCCTCTATAAAATTTTGTTGAAGACTTAAGAAAAAGGAAGGCACACACAAAAAAATTTAACTGACCACTATATTATAAACTTTATAGAAGAGAATAGTAAAGTTGTTGAAGAATTAATACAAGAAAACAATGACATGAAGAATAAACTAGAAGAACTGCGAACACTTTGCAAAACACCACCAAGGTAAATAAGCCATTTATTTTTAAGTACAAATATTTTAAAATTTTTTAAAATATCAATTATTGTTTTGTTATATAGCAAAAGTGTTAAAAAAGAAGAAAATTCTCCAAAACCCTATTCCCTGATGATACTCCTCTATTAACTTCTTGTTTTATAAAGTTTAAGCCTCTATATACATACTCCATGTACACGATATATCTTAAAAATTGTCATTATTGTATATTTGTAACCTTTTATTAACTTAAAATTATTAGATGAGTATTTTCTCATGTTAGATATTTTCCTACAATATATTTTTCAATAGCTGCCTGCATTTTCATGTAGATTTACCATTATTTATTTAAGCAACCATAACATTTAAGTTGTTTTCATTTTGCTTCTGTTTTATTTTGCTGTTATTTTCTCTATTTCAATAGCTTTTGATAGCTTTTTTCAATATTTTTTGGTTACATGTTGCATTGTATAGTGGTGAAGAAGTCTGGGCTTTACGTGTACCCACCACTCCCTGTGACCATTGTACCTAATAGGTAATTTTTCATCCTCTACCCCTTCCCCCTCTCTGCTTCTATTATAAAGAACTATATAGTGGAAATTCTTTTTTTTTTTAAGAGTTTTTTTATTTTTTTTTCATTTTTATTTTAGATTCGGGGGTACATGTGCATGTTTGATACATGGACATATTGTATAGTAGTGGGGATTGGGTCTCAGGTAGCCCATTCTCCAGATAGTAAACATTGTACCCACTAGGTAAAGATTCTTGTATATGAAATTTTTAGCACATCTCAGTCTATTTTCTTAGACTATATGGATATATATATATTATTTCAAATGAAGTTTTTTATTTACCATCTCTGTTTTTTCAATCTTTGGTTTGTTTTTAGGTCATTGTCTGAAGGAGCCATTGAAAATGCTTGTCTGCCATGCAGTGTGGGGGCCTTAGAAGAACTTCGTGGACAGTACATAAAAGCTGTAAAAAAAATTAAGCGTAAGTTCCTAAGAGGTTCTCAAGGTTTTAAGGATAGTTTGGGTCTTTTTTATTGTTGTTAAATGTAAACTTAGGGTTTTCCAGCAGTAGTACTTTTAGGGGAGTTTTCCAAACTACCTTATTCTTCAATCTTGGAAAAGATCATTGATACATTTTCAAAATTATGCAGTCATGGATCATTTTGCCCATATCTTTTGAAAATGACATGAGAGTAGTATTATTTTTGTATTGTTGATTAACCTGTTCTTTTTTAGACAATAGTGTGATACACTAAAAATTGATAATCTTACAACTTAAGCTGTAGCAAAGAAAACTCAAGTCATGTGACTTTTAAATGAGCAATTATTGCTTCCTACTGTAAACTTTTAAGGACTATGGAAGTGGATCTACTTAGTAGTTGTTCTGTTGTTTCCTAGTATCATCTCTCATGACTATACATTTGTGTATCAAGTTCTTGTCAGTACCAGGTGGTGTCAGCATATTCTGCAAAGCATTCCCCTGGTATATGTTTTCCTATAAGATACTTCCTGGTTTTTAATTAGAAAAATGCATAGAATGGATCTAAGTCCCAATATAATAACCAGTGTTTATGTAGAAAAATGTATGCTTACCTCCTAAGATTACTTTCCTTTTTTAAAAAAAGAGCAGGAAAGTTTTCAAGTTTGAAATATAATTGGTAGATACCATTTAGTTAAAAAAAAAGTTGACCTTAATTAATAATAGTCCCAATCAAAGCTATATTGATTTTAAAAAGATAACTTGAAAGCCGTGAACTATGTTTATGTGTTAGTTTCAAAAGACAACTATAAGTCTCATCACCCTACTTCCAGTCTCATTTTGTACATATTTCTCATGGATTTACTATTACACTTAGTTAGATATAAGTGCTGCTGAAAGAATTTTGAGTAAATAATGCAGTATGGATTTTCAGAGCAGAGTCTCTCTAGCTCATACAACCTCCTTTTCTTCTTTCTTTCAGTGTCTGCTGTTCTCATTCTTTCTGCTTCACCTTGTCTACGTATTTCTTTTTTCTTTTCTCTTAACTGGAAATAATGTACACATGACATATATAAATTTTTGTCTCATATTTATGGTATTTTTCTTGCCTAAGTGTTTTAGAATGTGACAAAATTTCCCTGGGGAATGTGCAATGTTTTCTTAATATATGTAGCTGTCATCATTCCAAAAGGACTTATAGATACTTCTCATTTGAGTCTACCAAACTGTGATCTAAAATATTCCATTTTAATGATTGTGGAAAGTGTAGTAAACTTTAAACTATACCTCCAATCACTTCATCTCCCAGAAAATTGGGTCTGAAGTCTGCCCCTCCTGTTACTGAAAAAGTGCTAATAAATGTGTATCTTGTGATGATATTCTCACTCCTCTGTAGGTGACATGCTTCGTTATATTCAAGAGAGTAAAGAAAGAGCTGCGGAAATGGTAAAAGCAGAGGTATTACGAGAACGTCAGGAAACTGCCCGAAAGATGCGCAAATATTATTTAATTTGCCTCCAACAAATTTTGCAGGATGATGGAAAAGAAGAAGGGTAAGTTCAGTCTAACCAAACAATGTGTTCTGAGATTACCAGGACACCATGTTGTCATTTTCTAAGCATTTTCCTTAACCACAAAATTATCTATTTCTACATGATCAGCCATTGGGGGTTAAGAGAGGTTTATGGTGGTGCTGCCCTAAATGTTGGCAGAACCAATAGGAAAACAGAAATCCTGGGGCTAAGGAAACTCATTTTTTCCTTGAAATTATATTAATTTAATATTCTGAAATTCCCCACAGGGCTGAGAAAAAGATTATGAATGCTGCTAGCAAACTTGCTATGATGGCAAAATTGCTGGAAACACCTATTTCTAATAGGTCCCAGAGCAAAACTACAGAGTCAGGTATGTCAAAGTGAGTCACTCAAATGGTTTTTCTCTCTCCTCTTTTTGGGCTATTTAATATTTTCAGTGTGAAAAAGAGCAGGGAATGCAAGAGGTAAGAGTTAACTTATAAAATTGTGTGTGTGTATGTTTTACTTAAACTGGAAATTTACAAAAAAAGAGTATAGTTTCAAGTTCAAGTAGGTAGACTGAGCATGCCCATCAGCTTTCCATTGCTGCTTTCATCCCTAGAAATTATGAAAAAGGTTTAAACAACAAATAAAGAATGATAAAAAGAAGAAATTATAACTGGGTTTTAAAAGGTTCCAGTGGATAGACCAGAAACTATAAGAAGTCCCTTTAGACAGAATGAGATAGAGGATGGAATGCTCAGTTTAAAACTCTACCTGGAGATGACAGCCACAAGTAGAAGCAATATCAAACTGTTGCACATATGAAGGTGGTATGTTTCAGGAGAAGGAGTTGTCCTAGGGGATACCAATGAGCTAGTAATTCATTGGTATTCTAGAGCAACAGCAATCATGTGGGGTTGCCCTCTCCTTATTTTTCCTCCTTCCCTTCCATTCCCAACCCCAGTACTGGGCTAGACAGCAACAACAGGAACAAAGAATCTGGGAGCAGGGTAGTGCTCCAGGTGGCTAGCCATATCAAGCAAGAACTGGGAGCCCACATGCCTAGAATAGTAGCTATTAGATCTTTCTACCCAGCTTATCCCACCTGTCCCCTTGCCCCCAACACCTTTAAGCAAGAACACAAACAAATATGGTTTTCAGAGACCAGGCTCGGTGGCTCAGCCTGTAATCCCAGCACTTTGGGAGGCCGAGGCGGGTGGATTGCCTGTGGCCAGGGGTTCGAGACCAACCCAGCCAATTTGGCAAGACACTGTCTCTACAATACATTAAAAAAACAAAACAAAACAAAACCCCTGGCGTGGTAGCACGCTTCTATAGTTTCGGCTACTTGGAAGCCTGAGGCAGAAGGATTACCAGAGCCCAGCAGGTTGACACTGGGGTTGCCATGAGTGTGTCACTACACTCCAGCCTGGGTGACAGAGTGAGACTCCAACTCAAAACAAACAAACAAACAAACAAAAAAACCTCAAAAAACCAAATATAGTTTTCAGGACATGTAAAAGAGAAACATTTAACAAAGAATCACTATGTATTTTTAAAAAGTCATCACCAAGAAAAAAGACACCAGACTGGGTGCAGTGGCTGTAATACCAGCACTTTGGGAGGCCGAGGCAAGAGGATTGCCTGAACCCAGGGGTCCGAGACCAGCCTGGGCAACTTGGTGAGACCTTGTTTCTACAATAAATCACAACAAACTAGCCAGGCGTGGTGGCATGCGTCTGTAGTTCCAGCTACTTGGAAGGCTGAGGTTGAAGGATTGCCTAAGCCCAGCTGGTTGAGACTGCGGTGGCTGTGTGACACTGCACTCTAGCCTGGGCAACAAAGAGTGACACTCCAACTCAAAAAAAAAGACACCAAACTAACAACAAAACAAAACCCAAAAACCAATACATTTTTATTTAAGGGAATGGAATTAAAATAACAAGCAGCAAGACCTGAGAATGAAAGTATGGTATTCTTAGGTGTTAAGGGGATATGGTAACGGACAAGAAAAAATATGCTAAATTATTTTACTATTTTCAAGGAGAGAATGTAGATATTGATAACTCTAGCTATTGCTAGAAAAATGTAGTTTTAAGTATGTGTGCTAAAATTTAAGAGTAACTAACAAAGAAACAGAAATAGAATACATAACATTGGTAGAGAAAAAACTTGGAAGAAAATATTTTTAACTTAATAAAATCTGGAAAGAAGGAAAACAAATAAATAGCATGGGTAAATAGAACATAATAGTCATTTGAAACATCAGCAATCACACTAAATATAAATAGGTTAAACTCACTTATTAAAAGACCACAACTTTCTAATAGGAATTTAAAATGTATGAACATTTGCTATTTTACAAGAACATCTAAAATTCAAAATTCAAAGAGAGAGAGTGATATACCAAGCAAATGCAATGTTGCTATTAGATAAACTATTGAGATAATATAATATTACGTAATTAGAGTTAGCACTAAAAGGGACAAAGGTTCATAATGATAATGGAACATTTTCCCTAGAAACTATAAATTGTTTCTTTCTGTATATAATAACATAGCTTTAGAGAATATAAAGCACAAACTGATAGAAATACATTAATAAAATCAGTAAATTCCCAATCACACCAGGATTTTTTTTTTTTTTTTTTGAGTTGGAGTCTCACTCTGTTGCCCAGGCTGGAGTGTAGTGGCACGCTCACAGCCACCCCAGTGTCAACCTGCTGGGCTCCAGCGATCCTTCCACCTCAACCTTCCAAGTAGCCAGAACTAAGGTGTGCACTACCATGCCGGCTTATTTTTTAATTTTTATTGTAGAGACAATGTCTCACCAAATTGCCCAGACTGGTCTTGAACCCACAGACTCAGGCATCCCACTCACCTTGTCCTCCCGTAGTGTTTGGATTACAGGTTGAGCTACCGAGTCCTGCCCACACCAGGATATTTTTAACATATCTGCGGGGAAATGGGGTTTTTAAACCTCTGGAAAACTTGAAGCAGAGATTGTTCAGGAATACACTAATCTGATGTTGGTAAACATTCCTCATGTAGAAGATTATTTATACAAAGATTATTTGCATAACTTTTGGAATTGTGATGTGAATCTTAGGTATAAAAAGGCAATCGCATATAACAAAAATTAATTTTCTAGATCTGGAGCAAAAGTGTGCAAATAATACCCTGAGTAGAAGTAAACCCTTTTCGTAGACTCTAGGAACCAAAGTATGCTACTCTGAGATAATAATGCCTCTAATTCTATGCTATATGGCTGCTCTGACTTTGATCAGATCTAATGTCCTAGCCAATTAAATCAGAAACTCTATTTAACTTTGAAAGAAGTATGTGTAGATGTTGGGTGAGTGGGGTTTTTGAGAAAACTTTCTTCATCAGAAGCTCCATACTTGACATTAGAATCAGGGCAGGGTTGAAAACATTACAATTGGGTCTTGGAATGCTATATCTATTGCAGAAAATGATAGATCAGGTGGATAGCAATAATAATGTATTGGATTTCACTAACAAAGTTACCAAGCTTTATCTGGTGGATATATGTATAATAATATTTTTAAATGTCCAGAATTGATGTATTTTCTTTAAAATAATTACAGTATATGTGCATTCTTTGAGAATTCATAAAAACTTTTTTTCTTTAAATGTTAATTTCCCTTAATTTTGTTTCTTTGCACATAGTAGTACTGCCCCTGACTTCAGAGGTGCTGACCGGAGTTGAAAAATTGAAAAGAAAGGATGTGAATCAGAATATACCACGTTATATTGAAAGCAAATCAAACAGTGTAAAAACTAGTGTACATGAACAAGTTCCTAAGAAGAAGTCTGCTTGTAACTTACAGAGGCTGTTAGAGAACTCAGAGCATAGGTACATAAAGCACGTGGGATCCAAGTCACATTCAGACTTTCAGTTTGAGGACAGTAATTGCAAGCACTTAAACATTTTGCCAAGAAATACATCTCCTGAGTTTGTTCTCTGCGAAGGTGAAGGAGGCTTTGGTGTACGCAAGAAGAAAGATCTACTTAGTAATACTGGTTCTGAATCATTTCCACATTCAGCCACATACCCCTTTCTTGAAACTTTTGGAAATAAACTCTCACCTAGTTGTACTCCTGGTCCTTCTGAATCAGGATCCACACATATACCCTTTCGAGATCCTCATAAAAGACTTGGCTTAAAAGTATATACATGTAATCCACTAATGGAAAGTGAAAATGCTACATTTGAGAAAAGTCAAGGTTTGCGTGCTCAGGAAACTCCAGTAAAAGATGGAGGAAACCTTAGTGATTCTTTGGACTGGCCTTCCAACAGTGCAACTTTACTCTGTGACAGTTGTGAAGTATCATTTGTACATGGTAGGCCACAAGGAACTCTGGACATACTAGGTGAATCTGTTAATTTCAAACAGTTTCCAGCAACCAATTGTCTTTCAGATAGAGAGAAAAGAAATATGGTTTGTCAACCAATGAAATGTCAGCGTGATCAAACTCCAAACCTCTCAGAAGAAACCACATCCTCCCAGCCAGGGAAGATCAGTGTGACTCTTGGACACCCACCTCATCATAAGGCTGATATATTAAAATCAGATTTCAAACAACTAAGTATTACAGTACCATCTTCAGTTTGTCAACAGTCTTCAAGAAAATTGATTGCTCCGCTGTCTAGCCAACAAGATAGTGGCTTTGATAGCCCATTTGCCAATCTAGACTAATTGTTGTACAGTATTTAAGAAGAATCATTAATATATTGACAAGAAAACTAGAAGGGAAGACTTCATACTGAAGAATTGTGGGTTCTGCCTGGTTTGAGATGTTTTAATAACATCATTATATGAGTAAAGTATTCCCATAAAATTACTTGAGGTATTTATGTTGCCTTAATATTCTGAAGGCCTGATAGTGTATGTGTAATCTGCTTTTGTGTGGTACTTATTTAGGTTGCTAAACCATCTATTTTTATACTTATAAATTGGCTCACTCTGCAGTGTTAAATTATTTAAATAAACTTGCATGTGGTCTGTAGAATTGTTTTGAATTATTTTTTACTCCAGAATATAGAAATGTTACATTGACATCATGTTTGAAATTCACCCCAAAAATATAAACTTTGATTATTTGAATGTATGAGTAACCAAATTTAATTTTTGAAATTAGCCATCATTCATGAGGCTATAGAGTTAAGCTAAACATACTTCTCTTGTAAATATCTATTCAAAATTTTGATCCTTGTTTTCAGTTAGAGAAAAGAGGTCCTCTAGGGTTTGCTACAAAATACATAAATGCAATCCAGTTTTATTACTTGAAATATCAATTTGAACTATTTCAGATCTTTGCTTTATTTCAGATCACCAGTGATGTTCAGAAACTTTGTGTCTTTTATGGTTTCACAGTATTTTTTTAATCTAAACATTACTTTTTAAAAAATGAGATACTAAATATTGTCATATAGCAAAAAATATAAAACTATTAGATTTCTACATTTATTTATAGTGCAGAATTGTCTAACTTATTTTTTAATTTTGATTTGGGGTCTCACTCCACAGCAGAACTGGCTAACTTATTAATGCTATGAGTTGAAGATTGTAATTCTAACTGAAGAACACACGCAGAAATGAATAACTATGTAAATATCATTGTTTCTAGGTGAGTTCTTTTTCAGGTTTCTAGAGATTGATACGAACATTTTAGGTGTATGAAAGTGCTTCCTGAAAACAGTTACTATAGCTTTTTCCCATCTCTCACTCCAACCATACTGACTGCATTCTGGGATTGATCCACCCAGAACCAAATAACTTAGGTGGTGATGGGGTGGATGACGAGATGCATCCTCCTCTTCTCTAAAAGCAGGAACCTAGAAGTGAAACTTCCAGGGCTTGGAAAACTCTTGTCACCTTAATTGATTACCAGATGTAGATATGTCTAAAAATTAGCACTGAATTTCAGTGCTTGAGTTCACATGCAGCTGTAGTAAGGGAAAAGACCATCTTGTCAAAGTCTGATTTATATTCCTAAACATGTAGTGCCCCTTCTCCAAGAGCTAGGCTGTCATTTCTCACCCTAGAAAAACTTGTAAACCAGCCAAATTTATGCTCCCCATGGATCTGGTTGGCATCTGATCATGTCAAGTCGTGGGTATTACTGAACTTAATAGCTAGCTCATTGCTCACTTACTTTTTCATTCTTGTTCTAAATCCATGCCAGTTATGTAAACTTTAAACATTAAGGTTGAAATTGGAATTCCTCTTGCTTTCTGTGCCTTGTAGGATATCCTTAATTTTTATTGATATTCATAATCTCAATAGGATTAAATTACTTTATTTCATATACCCTAAAACCAACCACCAAGGAAATTATCAATTTACCAGTGTGCAAATGAGGGGACTGCGCAGCCAAACTATGACAAGTGATTTACATTGGTCTGAATAGTAGTGGCAGAACAGAAGGGAGGTAGGAACCCGGTAGACATCATAATCACACAAATCTCACTCTGTCATGGTGTTTAATTCCCTTTTTATATTGCTGGATTATATTTGCTAATATTATGTTCAAGATTTTCATGTGTACATGAGGGATATTGGTCGCTTGTTTTCTTGTGATATCTTTGTCTTGCTTTGGTAAAGAGGTAGTACTGGTCTCAGAATGAGTTGGAAAGTGTTCCCTTTCCTCTGTTTTCGAAAAGAATTTTGTAGGATTGGTATTATTTCTTCTTTATATATTGGATAGAATTTACTAAGTGAAGATATCTATCTAACCTGGGTTTGTGAGGGGGAAGGGGGTAATTTATTTTCTTGTTATAGAGCTAATAATTTACATTTCTTCTTTAGTCAGTTTGGTAGTTTTCACTTTTAAGGAATTTGGCCATTTTATCAAAGATGTCTAATTTGTTGACATAAAGTTGGCCATAGTATTCCCATAACCTTTTGATTTTAGCAGGCTTAGTAATGATGTCCTCCTTTCATCCTTTCAGTTTTTGGTATTCTGTCTTTTCTTAGTCTATCTAAAGTTTTATCAGGTTTGTTGACCCCCCTCCCACGCTAAAGAACTTCTGGTTTCTTTTCTTATCTGTTTGTTATTTTATTGATTTTTCCCTTTGATTTCCTTCCTCCTGCTTGCCTTAGTTTAACTCTCTCTTATTTATGTATTCTTAAGGTGGAAGTTTAGATTATTATTGTGAAATTGTTCTCTTCTGATATAGATGTTTAAAGCTCCAAATTTCCCTCTAAGCATGTTCAGCTTGCAGCTCATAAGTTTTGATATGTTGTCGTTTGTTTTCATTTACTTCAAAATGTTTTCAAATTTCCCCTGTGATTTGTTTTTTGACCCTTGGATTTTATTTAGAAATATATTGCTTCATCATTCCCAAGAATTGAGGGTTTTCCAAATCTCTTTGTAGTTTATTTTTAATTTCTTTGTTGTTAAATAATATACTTTGATTGATTTAGTCCTTTTAAATTGCTTGAGACTTGTTTTATGGCCTTGCATATGACCTATCTGGAGTATGTTTCACATGCACCTGAAAAGAATGTATAGCCTGCTGTTGCTGAATTGGGTGTTCAAAAATGTTAGTTCAAGTTGATTGATAATGTTCAAGTTTGCAAAAGTCTTGCTGATTTTCTTTCTATGTATTCAGCTAGTTATTAAGAGTGAGATATTGTAATCTCTGAGTGTAATTGTTAAATTATCTATTTTTACCTTTCAATTCTGTCAGATTTGCTTCATGTATTTTGAGGCTCTGTTGTTAGGTATATATACCTGTATATCTGTTATATCTTTCTGATATATAGACCGTTTATCAATATAAAATATCCCTCTTTGTCTCTAGTAATATTTCTTGTCTTAAAGTCCATTTGTCTGTAATTACTACAGGCACTCCAGCTCTCTTGTGATTGCTGTTTGCATGGCATAGCTTTTTCTGTCCTTTTCCTTGTAGCCTATTTGTAGCCTTTAATTCGAAGTGGGTCTCTAACAGACTGCATATTGCTTGATTTTGCTTTTTTTTTTTAACCCAGTCAGACAAGATTTGATTGGAGATTTTTGTTCATTAAAATTTAATATGATTATTATTGGATTTGCATCTTCTATTTTGTTACTTGGTTTCTGGATATCTTTAGTTATTGGATTGCTCTTTTATTAGCTTCTTTTGTATTAAACATATTTATTAGAGTACCATCTTAATAACTTTTTTTGCTGTTTTGTTATAGCAGGCATCTTAACATATTACAGCCTACTTCAGATTAGTGTTATTTCTGGTAAAATACAGCAATTTTGTCACAGCTTAGCTTCATTCTTTGGCCCTTCTATGTGCTATTATTGTCATTTATATGTTACATCTGTATATTGTCATATACATGATATTTCAGTGTTATAATTATTACCTTATACAATTATGACTTTTAAAGAATTTAAGAGAAGAAAAGAAGAAATGCATATCATTGTCCGTTATATTTACCCACATGTTAACCATTCTTTCTGCTCTTCGTTTTTCCCATGGATTCAAGTTGCCAGGAGTATTGTCATTTCCTTTCAGTTGTAGTACTTCTTTTAGTATTCCAAGCAAGACAAGTATGCCAGCAACAAATTCACTCAGTCATTGTTGATTTTAGAATACATTTCAAATTTATTTTTGAAAGACATCATTTGATAGATTTAGAATGTTGGTTAACATTTTCCCCCCAGCACTTTGAATATGTCATTCCATTGGTTTATGGCCACCATAGTTTACGATAAAAGGTCAGCTGTTAATTCTGCTGTTCTCTATATGTGATGAGTTGTTTTTCTCATACTGTTTTTAAGATTTTTTTCCTCTTTAACTTTCAACATTGTGAGCATGGTATGCCTAGGTTTGAATTTCTCTGTGTTTATTCTACTTGGAGTTTGCTGAGCTTCTGGGATTTGTAGATTAATCCTTTTAATCAAATTTAGAAGGGTTTGTTTTTTTTTGGCTATTATTTCTTCAATAATTTTTACTTGCCTTTTTCTCATGCTTTCTTTCTGGGGCTTTCATGTACAGTGATATGCTTACTGTTATGTCACAGATCTTTGAGGTACTGTGAGTTTTTATTTAGTTACCATTATCTTGTTTTTCATATTGGATAATTTTTATTACTCTATCTTCAAGTTTCCTGATTCTTCTGTCTTCTCAATTCTGCTGTTTAGCCTGTTTTTTTAATTTTTATACTTTCTGACTCTAGAATTTTTATTTAGCTCTTTTTGTTGATGCATACTAGTTGTACATATTTGGGGAGTATATATGGTATTTTGATATATGTATACAATGTGTAATGATCAAACCAGGGTAATTGGGATTTCCATCACCCCAGTCACCCTTCCTTATATTGGGGCCATTTCAACTTTTTTCCTCTGGCAATTTTGAACTATACAACAAATTATTGTTAATTATAGTTGCCCTATTATACTTGAGTGGTTGGTTAATGATTACAAAACATAGTTATATTTGTTTCTCTTTTTCTATCACTCAGGTTGGAGTACAGTGCTGTTATCATAGCTCACTGTAACCTTAAACTCCTTGGCTCAAGTGATCTTCCTACCTCAGCTTCCTGAGTAGCTTGGACTACAGGTGCATACCACCTTGCCTGGCTAATTTTAAAAAATGTAGAAATGGGATCTTGCTATGTTGTTCAGGTGGGTCTTGAACTTTTGGGCTCACATGATCCTCCTGCCTTGGCCTCTTATATCATTGGGATTACAGGCATGAACCACCATGCTCAGCCACATTTGACTCTTTTTTATAGTTGCTATTTTACCAACTATAAGATTATATTTTCTATAAAATCATTGTCATCATGTTTTTCTTTTTTTTTTTTTTTTTGAGTTGGAGTCTCACTCCGTCACCCAGGCTGGAGTGCAGTGGCATGCTCATGGCCACCCCAGCGTTCACCTGCTGGGGTTTGGTGATCCTTCTGCCTCAGCCCTCCAAGTAGCCGGAACTATAGAAGCGTGCTACCACGCCCAGCTATTTTTTATTTATTTATTATAGGGATGAGTTTCGCCAAGCTGTCCAGGCT